CTTCAGCCACCTCAGGCAAACGTAAACGTATTGTGGACGTCTCTTGACGGACCCGAGACGATTCGGAATGTTAAATGCGACGATTTCAGTCTCGACAAGTGTTTTGGGGACTCGTTCGCGTCATCGCTCTCAGATTCGACCTCGCCAAACCCTGACTTTACGGCGTCCAACATCTTCTCACGCCTCTCGTACCAGCGACCACAATGCGGCGACTGCCTGATCAAGTTTTTACTAGCTTCGCAGCCGCGAGGTCTAGAACCATTACTGCCTCCCAAGGCTACAAAGCCGCACGAGCGCGAGATAATCATCAAGGCGCTCAAGAAGTACCAGCATACTATCATCGACACGGACGCGATGAAGTTCGTCATGGTGAAAGATGCGGAGCAGGCAGAAACGGAATTGCTAGAGCGCAACATTCGCAGAGGCAAGGAGTACAGTCAATGGTGTCTCAACGACGACGTTATGACCGAGAGCGAGGAGCAGGTCGGCCGCGTCCGAGACGTCATAGCACAGGTCTTCGAGGACTTGTGGCCCCTCAAGGGACGCTGGGAAAAGGGAAACTAAGAAGCTGAAGAGCTCATAGTTTTTTTTTTTTTTTTTTTACATATGATGATACTAACATACGCTGGCGTGATTTCTGGTTTATTTCTGTATTTTATTATTGAAAAGATACCACATATTTTTTTGCACTGATGTACGTCTATAATATATCCCCCATGAACAATCTACGCCATTTAATACGGCCAATTTAACCACCATTGCCATCTTCAACTGCGTTAACCCGTCAAGTTGATCTCCTGCAAATTATCCACGCAGAAAGAGATGAGAAAATTCGTGGAACTTGGACGGACTCGGGGCTAAAGTAGAAGACCGCTTTTTTTCATCAGAGCAAGTATGTATACGTGTAACGTACATAGGTAAGTATTCGAGAAGATAGGTATCCATGTCCTTGTCAGGGGCGACGCGTAGAGTAACACGGCACGACATAGGTACGACACGATGTAGCGTAACGTGACGGCGTCTGACGGCGTTGGATCGAGATTCGTCACCGCGGTGAGAGGGCCGAGGTGACGTCGGTAGAAATGTAAAAGCCGAAGTTAAGTTGAAGCGAGATTGTTATGTAGGAGCTTGGTTGGAAGTAGCAATAGGAATAGACAGGTATTTAGAGAGTATAGACTTAGTCTAAGGTCTTGTATTGTCGTTAGAAGTTATTAAAGACATCTATTAGCCCGAGACTGTCTCTACACCAAAATACATCAGCAAGTATCCGTGATAGATGGAGATTACCTCGGTATTCTTTTCACTTATTCCATGTCAACTATCCGTCTGCTGTTAGAGCAGATGAGACATTTGGCGGATGAAGTGAGTTTTGCCGAATAATGTTTCGCATAGATGCAGCCTTTCCGGGCTATATGACTCAAGTTAAGGAAAGGGGTTGTAGAAATGAATAGTCCAATATTGGATTCATTATACATTGTTACAAATATAGATGTATCCAAGGGTTCACAACACCCTATAGACGGCGAGGATCAACTAATAACACGAAGAACAAATCAATAGTACAACACGTTAGTAGTCTGATTGCTGGTATATACTCAGATTAAAGTATGTTCTATACGCTCTATATCCCGCTCAAATACGCTCAAATGCTAAATTTTCGAAAGCAATGCCATCGTTACTCGACAACTAATCTCATAGGGCCATGGCTGCCCAGAATCCAACCGCAACTAACCCCAGACACCATTCAACTCGACTGCGGGAACTTGACGAATCTGTTGTTGTTGTTGCCGAATCGCCCACCTGTGCTGTCGTGCTTGCGCCAGGAGAATTGAGTCCGGACGGGGTAGTGCTGCCGCTCGTTTTCGACGGGGCCGAGGAAGAAGCGGATGGCGATGAAGACGAAGATGAGGATGAGGAGGATGAAGTTTTGGAAGCTGGCAAGTCGCAGTCGCCTTTAATAGTGGACATATCCGTCTCCTTCGTGATCTCTACCTCGTTCGTGCCACAGTTGACGTATTGAGCTAGGTGAATGGCGTTATTTGTCTGATCGAAAACGGCTAGGGAAAACTGTCAGTCTTTTACCTACTAATACAGGACGACCGCTCTTCATATTGTTATACAACTCACCATAAGCAGAGCGGAGCATGGTGTCGCCGAGGAGAATGAAGTCGTCGCTCGCCATGATACCCAGGTAACACTGCGTGTAGAAGGAGTTCTGGACCTCTCTGACGACCTCGTTATAGGGCACCTTTATCGTAACACCATCAAAGGCGAAGTTCAGGGTACCCGGCAGGTCGTTGAGAGAGCAGTCAACGGGATAGAGGCCGTTGGCATCCGTAGCCTCGGCGCCGAAGTCTGCCGCGATGCTGTTTGCCAGCTCCGTCGGCAGGAGAGTGAGAGTGGCACCGCTGTCTAGGAAAACAGCCATGTTGTTGCTCACGTATTCCTTCTTCGCGCCGCTCGGGGGCGTCAGGCTTAGGGAGGTCATGTTGACCCAGTACCTCGGCACTTTGTCCGGGGATTCTTCCGCGGGGATGATGGGCAAGGTCTGTAGAGTACCCGTAAACTTGCCCGTGTCTAACCCGCCGAAGATGATGACTCCTTCTTGCTCCTCTTTGCCGCCGAGAGCTAGACTGAACGCCTTGGTATCTGTTACCCCTTGGTCCGCTAACTCGTCTACGAAATTCTTGTAACTCGTGGTGACGTTTATTCCGTGACCTATTCCTAGGATGCCAGCAAACTCGTCATCAGTCTCCGTGGCAACTCCGAACTGGATCCCTTTCAGTTTCGCATCTAGTCCAAAATCAGTTTTACGGGTCTCATTATGATATACATTCTGTACTTGAACGAGCAACTCACCCGTGCCTGTGAGGCCAATGTCATCTGAGAAGTATTGGATCTTAGCAGCGCCGATGCCATACCGCAGCGTCTTCGTGCCGGCTAGCTGAGTTGCGGTAGACGAAGACGACGAGTCATAATGGCCTACTGCCTGGCAAAATCTAACATCTGCAGAGCCCGAAAGATCGGAACAATCGGGATTTACCCAGAGCTCGAACGAGCCGGTATCTAGTTGGACATAGACCTGCTGCGGCGGCGTGCCGATGTCCACTTTGATAATTTAGCAGGAGAAACAGCACGCAAGGCGAACGAGGGGTTACAAACATGAGGCGTAGTATGCTACATCTGATCTGTTGGCTAGGGGTACGGTAGTTATAGCCCGCTTATCCCCGAAGTCAGCGAATACATCTTTATTCGTAGAATGTATAACAGGTAGCTTGACATAACGGCTACTGCGGCGTTCAATAGTAGATGATTGGCAATAAGCTCCTATAATTAAGTCAAGGAGGAGGAAGAGCCGGGCTGCCATCTCTAGCACAATCAGATATTACACGCGAGTTCTCAGCATGAAATGACCACAGCTTCAAAAAGCACGAAAGAGATCTGGCGAGGGTTTTCTAAACTTCGCCTTTTGAACTTGTCAAACCCCGACTGGTCGTTGGCTCGGCAGTTTACCTGTCAACCTGCGCCTGAGCCTGAGCCTGTATCTGTTCCGCTTATATGTATGAGTAGAACAGGCGAACGAGCAAACGAGCGAATCCTTCGAGGGTATCCGAATAAGGCAAAGAACGGCAGCACAGAAATAATAACGAGCGCGAAACCAGTCGGCGGACCCGGGGAAATCGTTATTAATAAAGAAAATACGGGAAAATGCAAAGAGAAAAGCTACCAAGAGCCGACCGGTCGGACACCAAGACTGAGGAGGAAAGGAATGGGAATGGGAATGGGAATGCAATGCCGTAATGAACGAACGTAAAAAAAAAAAAAAAACCGATGGACAAGAACTTAACAAGCAGACCAAGAAAATGAGATGAAGGTCACAAGAAACGACGGCGAAGTTCAATTGGAGAATATCGCCAGCACTGAAGACCCCCGGCGTGCTTGGAAGGGTAAGCTGTCTAGTGCCGAGATCCTCAAATAGCATAGCGCAGGGGCTACGGCGTGGGTGTTTGCGGCTCTGGGCTCTGGGTAATGGCCAATAGCTGAGGCCGAACCACTTGGCCATGTTGGAGCTGTGTCTGTTTTATTAGCAGGGGGCGTTTCAGCGCTCTTATTCAACTACCTATCTCCTCCTATGTTAGGTAGGTAATCCTGAAGGGATCGTCCTTGGTGTAGGGCTGAGGTGAAGGTGTTATTTATTTATTCGTAGAACATTGCGAATCAAGCCTCGATTCGTATGTATGTATGTACGAAGAGACGCGTTTGGTGGCGTGTGCTCAAAGTCTAACGAGTTCATCGGTGATCGACGACAACGGCGATATACTATATGTACCCGTATAACCAAAGGCTGTTATTAGACTAAAGCCCCGGGTTTCGTCTATGCATGAAATCAAATAGAAACTCTACGCTGTCTCAGTACATTGTAAGCTAATGTAAAAGCCAAGGGGGTGGCATGAGCCATAAGGAGTCGCCAAGGGGTTTAATACGGTAATTTTTATCCATTTTACGTTAGTCCGACTGCTCTTTCTCTGTAACCCTTCCCCTTTAAAATATATCCTATTCTCAAAATGCTCTTCAGGACGAACGAATAAGTTGATGATTTCAATGTAAAGATAGAAAAGTGTTTAACTCGATCGTTTCTCCTTATTATAAACTATTATTTTTGTGTTTTCATATCATATATAGGTATAAATATTGTCCGCCGACTTATCCAGGTCTACCGTAATGCCAATGCTTGACCTGTCACACGTGTTCGACGCCGTGGCTTGGCCCGTTTGTCTCAGCAATATTCACCTTGTCTCAGACAGGCCAGCCAACCGCTTCCTAGGTACCTACGCTGCGAATCGCTGCCGAACACGCGCGTTACGCAAAGCCACCGATACGGTCCCCCACTACATCTCCTTCCCGAACGCGGCCTTGCAAGTCTCCCGATTCATTGTTCATTGGTCAGTAAGACTCTTGCTCTCCTTCGGTGCGCGGACTGCAGACGATAGTAATGTAGACCGGGCCGAAGCTTATGGCTGGTTGTACCGTTGCATCCCGCATCTTAGCTGCTAACGTTATCTATGTACTGCTGTCGCCCGTAGGTATATTCCTTATGAATATATAAGATGTCAAACGTAAGTAGTATTTGCGGGATTGTTCCACTTATAAGTTATAACATCACTGCTATAAGTTCAATTTAGATTTCTACACATAGTTGCTTGTCTAACCACTTATTATGAGTGGCTGCCAGAGAAGTCGACAAAGCCTCCTTCTATTACTTGAGGCCAAAGAACGACGTAGAATAGAGGGGTCTCTGGTGTCGGCACTGCCTACTAGCTTGACATACACTACTTCGCGTTAGCAATCCCATCAGAGGCCGAAACTGCAAATTACTATGAAGTGCTCACGCAACCGACGGATAGTCTCATTATCTTTACCTTTAATGATATCATTTCTTTCCAACGGCACTCCATCTAGGTTAGCCCCCGAATTTCTTTATATATCTTATCGATCCCTCTTTCTCATATTCTCTACGTCTTAAGGAGGAAGATTACTAAAGTAGACTTGCCACTCCCCTCTAATTACCATCTACTACTTCAGTCCGTATAGCCTTGCTGAATTGCGTAAGAAGCACATATTTATCTGCCTACCTAGTAATGCAGCAGTGTTGTATCCTGAACGGCATCTCAGCTTCTTACTCAACCTGGTTGGTTGGGACTACTCTTAGGTGAGCGCGTATATACTGCTGCCTTCTAGGCTTATGGTATTAGATTATGGCGTTATAGATAACTTACCTAGGTAGGTATTACCTAGGTATGTATGGTGGCGTGGTACTATATCGGCAGGCTTCGAGAAGTCTAAGAGCAAAGCTCAGGGGTATCTAGCTTATAATGCTTATAGCCGTATATATAGACCGGGATGTACGGCTTAATTGCACAATATGCGATAGTGAGCGTTCTTCAACAACGTTTGAGCACTGCATTCCTTTTTTTTTTTTTTTTTTTTAATATTATGTAGTACAATATCTTACCTCGTATTGCGATCAGTGCTAAAGACGATAGTTCTTACAGAATATTGGGAGCAGATAGGCCAATTATCACACATGCTGCTCAACTTCGTATCTGTTAGCCAGCATCTGTTAGCCAGATCTGCTGAATCGAGTAAAGCTCCGGCGTTGGGGAATGCACCCTGATATCCGCTAACACCTAACACGTTCACTTATTCTGCCACTCTGCCACTCTGCCCTGCTAGTATCTCCGCGCATTTTAGGTACGTCTATCACATCTCCGAGAATTTTTAATATTGAACGAAGGCTACGCCTACGCATATGTACGCCTACGCATACCGCAACTACGCTAGTCTATCTAGGAATGGAAGCATGCAAGGTTCTCAATTATCGCTCACAATACCCCCTGAACCTGCGGTCCTGCTGACAGCGGCGACTCCTTTCCGACAAATGGACGATCAGATCAACTTTGAATAATAGTTGCCTGAAACGGCCGAGTGGATTTTATCATGTTTTCTAGTGCTAGTTATTATGGATTCAGGCTTCAGGCTTCAGGTTTTTGTCCTTGGCCTATTTCAGCCTCAGCCGTCTTATAAGAGGCGTGTAAAGGAATGGCCTGAAGTTCGATTTCGACAGGTCATTTTTTTTCCCTCTCCTCCAACCCAAACTCCTATAAGAGCATCATTATTCTCGATCGGAGAAGAGACATATAGAGGTATTAATCCAGACTGAGGCCGATTCCCGGAGACAATATAGTCAAGTAGTCCCACCTCTAACATCGACATTGGGCTAGCGGAATTCTCTCCAACCACTGGGCAACTGAAAATAACAGTCTTGTGCTTACTCTATTCGACTATACATACCATATCATACATTACTACAACTACAAATGGGCGACATAAAAGCATTCTCGGGGGTTGCGCCACCTGCGCCTACTCCCTTTACCTCACCAGACTCGCTGGCCACCTTCAAGTTCCCTTTGAAGGCATATCTACAAGAACACCCAGAGTTTAACTCGATAGCTGTCGCTGCCGTCGTCTTCAACGATGACGGAAAATTACTCATTGTGCAGAGAGCAGCACATGACTCGTTCCCGATGCTGTGGGAGATACCGGGAGGGGCTTGTGACTACGAAGACGAGTCTCTGCTGCATGCCGTGGCACGCGAGCTATGGGAGGAGAGTGGACTACGCGCCAAGTCCATTATTACCCTCGTCGGCAAAGGTCTTCCTATTCCCTACCGGGGTAACCGATGCATGTGTAAATACTCCTTTTTGGCCGAAGTGGAACAGCATGATGTCAAGTTGGATCCCAATGAGCATCAGGCATTCTTATGGGTCACCGAGGAAGAGGCTAGGGCTGGCAAATGTGGTGATGTTGAATTTAAGTACACGACTAAGGAGCAACAACTTACAGTTTGCGAGGCTTTCAAGTTGAGGAACGATGGACAGGCTCAAGAGAATTAGAGCGTAGAGTCTTGGGCTCTCGCATGGGTAGATTCCTAGACAAGCAAGAGGCTCGGCCTGTTGGTGCATCTAGTTGAGGCTGCTTGCATCGTACATAGACATATAGAAGCCAATTATTGTAAGGTACCATACGTGGATCTTATTGCTTCGAGCATTATCTGGACTGTTAGTCTAAGTCGTGATTAAAGGGGATAGGTTGGAGGCTTAGATGGCATGTGAACTCTCAACACCCGTTTGCGATGTGGTAGACGAGCCATCCCACTTGCTGAATATGATGTTAACATGTTTTTATTGGTACTGTTAATATCTTTGCTACTTTATAGGGCTTGCCGACATAGGTGGTAGTCAAAAGGACGATGCCTCTTGGCATATTACCGTTAAGGACTGACGCGCATGAAGTATCTATATCGTGCGCCACGTCGAATACCCATGTTCCGAATAGACGAGATCAGGCAGTAATAAAAAGTCAGAAGACCTCAATATGTACCTGTATAGTGTGTATAGTGTGTGTAGTGTGTATAGTGTGTATAGTATGTAGTGTACTAAATGCATGTCTCTCTTCTTCGTATGGACGTGCCTTATAACATCGGGGTTGCTATAGGCGTGATACCGAGGGTGCAATTCTAGACTGCGGCGATACCCGATGGTCTAGACTTGGTCTAGACTTGATCTAGTAGAGGCATATGACTTGAGACGGGAGGTAAATGGCATATGAAAGGCTGCAATGATTAAGTATGAACAACCCACCAACTCAGGCATGTTACGCAAGAATATGTGCTCTTACGCTTATGTAGAGACAGCTCAGACGTTTAGGCATATAATGTGACAAGGCTTCGGCATGTTGGAAATTTGATTGTAAAGTGAAAAAGAAAAAAGAAAAAAAGGACAGCACGAGACCTGGAATCTTAGTATGTAATATGTAACTAACTACCTCATATAGTACTGCTGGAAACTTTATCTACGACTACTACAAGATGGATATAAGTAATCAAATCATGTGATCAAATAGATGACTAAACAACAACAACAACTAGAGTGGGGTTTTAGCTCGCCTAAGCTCCCGAATGGGGATGGATCCTTGGCATTTTCGGGCGCCCGGGGCAAGCAATTCCAAGCTTCGGAAGCAATCCTCAAATCAGACCACTCGCAAATCCCTCTTTCTTAAACAACCTTTTACAATTAAACAAAACGTCACCGATCTCGACCTCAACCCACCACCACCACCACCACCACCCGCTACCTTCTTCCCGTTGACCTCCAATTGCCGTCGCCATGTTTTTGCAACGCTCCGCCGTAGCCGTGGCACGCCGCGCCGTTGTGTCTCCCGTTGCCAGACGAAGTTTTGCAGTCTCGGCCATCCGCCGTAAGAACACCTTCGCCGAATTGCGCCCGAACGTCCATCGTACGATGCGACCGTCACCATCAACATAGCTGACTATGTACTTTCAGGAGATGCGAAGAACGTCGAGCTTCGTACTAGCACCGGTCAGAAGATAAAGACTTTCCACGGTACGGCTTATCTAGCCTCAATTGAGCTATTCGACATGGTGGGGAAGCTTTATTGACTTGGGCATTATGCAATTATAGAGATCCAGTCCGAAGAAGACTTAATCGGACCCGGTGCCGCCCCCGGTACCGTCCCTACCGATCTCGAGCAGTCCACAGGTCTGGAGCGATTGGAAATTCTTGGAAAGATGGAGGGCGTGGATATCTTCGATATGCGACCTCTTGATGCCTCGCGGAAAGGTATGGGACTAGACTAAACCTATTAACTACCTACCTAGGTAGATAACTACGAAAAAAATAATTGGGCTAACGGTGCACCTTAGGAACTCTCGACAACCCTATCCTAGTCAAGTCTGCTGGTGACGAGCAGTACGCTGGCTGCACTGGCTCCCCCGCCGACTCCCACATTGTCACCTGGCTTGGCGTATGTCTTCCTGGATCTAAACCCCGGATTCAAAACTACAGCTCTCCCTGCTAGTAATTATGATACTGAGAATGGCCTAACTAATGCGCATATAGATGTCCCGCAAGCGACCCATCGAGCGATGCCCCGAGTGCGGCAGTGTCTACAAGATGGAATATGTCGGACCTCAGGATGACGGCCACGGACACGGCCATGATCACCACGGCTACGAGGAGCCCAAGACCTTCGCTGACTTTGTCAAGCCTAGCTACTGGTGATCATGTTTTATGACGTAAAAGTCGGAACGGAGTTATGGCTGCATAGGGGAAGGCGGCGGCTGTAGAATTGTATATTGCTGAAGGCTGCACGTATAGAAATCGATGAACATTGCAGCAGCTACATGGATCATGCATATGATATGTTGTGGTTCTTGGTTTAGTTCCCTTGCCGATTAGAGCTTGCATAATATGGTTCGTGATAGAATTCTGACTTGTTACTTGTGACGTTTCGAACGCATGACGTCGGGTATAAACCTATCTATCCGTACTTGGGTTATGCCTGCTTATTTTTATCATTTATACCTTATATTTCCTTGTTGACATTGATGAAAATGAGACATAGGAAGGTGGAAATTATATGCTTTGAATACTGCGAATGGAAATGTATTCATAAGTATATATACGCGGGAATCCGTTTGTAAGGTACCTGTACGTATCTTGTTCGTGAAACCTCGGATAGCGGAATCCCCTTAACACGGCCTAGCAGGGGTAGTAGTATAATCCTGCCCAATCGAGTAACTAATGTGTAAATTGTACACGTATGTAACGGGCTAAGTTAGGCTACTGGAGATTGAAAATGAAGGTGAATGCCTCTAACTGCTCTAATTGTACATAGTAGTAATAAGAACAAATAGGAACGCCAAGTCTCATAGATTAGATCGGATACGGGAGTACGGAGTATGCAATGACCGAATGAATAGATGAATGATGATAGGTACCTACCAGCTTTAGCTTTAGCTTTTTAGTACTGCGACTTTGATACTATGTACACTAACTATTGGTACTCACTCGTAAGACTACGCCTCTATTTATATCATCATTCTATGCAACTCTCAGCGAGCACATCCTCCCTCGCTCCAAATCCTACTTGTGAAAAGGTAAGGTGCATATCGTGTGTTGTATACGTGTAATATGTATTTGTATTTGTATATGTGTGTGTGGTATGAATGGATGGATTATGCCTACTCCTTCATGCGATATTGTGGCTTTGTAAGTCTAAGCCCGGGGGGAAGAAAGGGATAGAAAAGAAAATATATAAGGAGGTATGTATTCCGTATCTATAATGATCGGGTAATCAAAACGTTACCTATGAAGCCCGCCGGCTAGACAGCGATGGCCAGCGTAATTTAACATTCGACCAGCTTATATTGGCGAACTATAGGGAGGAGAATGTTGGATGTACCGGCTACGAATCGGCTTAGTATACTACACCCCCTAAAATCGGGTGCATAACGCGACGGCGTATTAATATTGGACCGTCTATTAAACATGATAAGATGGAAAAGTAACCCACCCCTTGCCCAAAATCTCCGTAGCTCATACTATGTCCCATACTATGTAGGTCAAAGATGAGATGAAAAAAATAGAGAGAAAAAGAGTAGAAGCATTAATAAATTCCTTCTACGTCCTACCTCAACTACCAATTGCAACATATCGTGCTGTCCCACGAGACGCATGTACTCCGTGCCAACGGGATTGCACGTACTCGTGTAAGAGGCGCCAATAAGCATGTCAAAATTCGATAATACATAATACCTAGTGCTCACCCAACTTCCCCCCCAAGAATCATGCATATAGTCAACCCAGGTCTGACTATCTCCAATTTGACCAAGCCAACGTGAGGCCTTGGATGGATGACATGATATGACGATACGATAGTCCCTGTCTTATATGTAGACTAGCAAGGCTTCTTTAGTCAAAAGTCACTTATAATAGTGCACGGAGGTATGCACCAATTTACCAACTTACGCATCAATCTATTCGCCAGATCGTACCTAAGCAAGTATACGAATCGTATACGTAGCTTCGTAGCCTGTGGCTCATAGCTCGTATAGTGGTAGTGGTAGTAGTATGTAGTAGTAGGTATACCCTAACCTGCCTAACTTAACCTCGGCTGGTAGGGCAAGGTAGTATGAATATGAGGGTAGTATGAGGCATGTAGCTCTATATGTAGGTACCTGCATATAGGTACATACGCATCAATGCATCCACACATGTGTAATGTACACTACTATAATGTCTGATGTGGATTATCATTGATGTATGTACGATGTGCGTATACATATGCTCGACGGAGTACATAGCATCATAGCATCATAGCATCATAGCATACACTAATACTTCGTACATTACACCTTTTTTTTTTTACCTTACATAGTACATCTTGCGGCCGACGCGTGGGGAGGTTGTTTGTTTAATGTTCCAAGATTCCTTGGATCCCTATGCACACCCGCGGCCCCGAGTCTAATGATGCTAATAATGCTAATAATGCATGGGTGAGCTTCTACCTAAAACGTCAGAGAAAAAATAGTGTAAATACCGCGCCAATAATAAGTCGGTGGTATTGGCGCGCGCTGCCGCCTATCGCATTTCCCCTTACCTACCTATATACGTAATGTACTCCCCCAAGAAGGCGAAAAAAAGGAAAGAATTTTTTTTGATTTTGATTTTTGATTGATAACTTGAAAGAGTCGTAGGTAGACGGAGAAGAAAAGGAACAGATGACATCCCTGTTCTCTCCGCTGCTAAAAAATGTTTGCCATTGTTAAGAGGGATTATCTTATTAGCCATGTTTTGCAACACGGTAATCTAGAATAGGATTAGAAGATTAAAATCACGAGAATCTGTCATGTTTAAAACGTCGGTCCATACTAAGGGATAAATGACCTCAAGGTATACGTATACCGGTAGTAAGGGTAGAGGTAGTACTGCTACTTATAACAAGGTAGATATACATTATAGGCATTGGAGAGTCCACCACCTATTACCAACATCCAACCTGACAAAAAACCTTCTAGGGAGTGCAAACTTATTACTGCTACATTTATTTACTTTCTCTCTGTCTGTCTCTCTCTCTCTCTCTCTCGTTCTCTCTAATTATATTCCCAATCAAACCTTTCCGCGTTCCTTTCAGGGTTTTTTTCGTCCTCCCTCGAGTCAGTCGCCTGCACACGTCCACCACTCTTACACCCGAGTCCTAGATCGCCGGTCTAAACAAATATTATATGACCTTGGCGTTTACATCTATGGCCATCGGTGTTAAGTGGATAGCGGGTAGCATAACCCCCATGCCTCCCTATATGGTTGCGCATCCTACTTGGTGATTTTCTTCCTCGTTACTTTCTCCCAGCTACACTCGACTCGGCCACAACCCTGCCAAGCCCCATCTACAGACCCATCGCCAGACCCATCGCCCCGGCGCGTTCCCCAACGCGCATCAGCAGGCCGGCATACATAGACCAGCATTAAGCTAACATCGTCGTCATCGTCATTATTTAAAACGCGAGTTCTAACACGGCGCAGCAACCGCAATACGACCGCTAAGAGAAAGAGATACGCTTCGATGACTTGGAGAGAGGGGAGAAGAAAACAACAACAACTAGGCATCATCGCGACTAACAAAAAACATCATCCACCGCCGAAAAACTCCGTCATTCCACCTAGAGAAGTTTCTACATTGCCGGGACCCTGTTAAATGGGAGCCGCATCGACAGGCCTTGTCGAAACGGGATCCATACTTGGAGAGATCGACTGCACCCAACTCCAACTATTGGATTGGATCGGGTAACTAATAAGACTATTCGATTCGTCTGCCACACGAATTCCTAATTAAACACAGTCACCCTTTTTTTTTTCCTTCGGTACTAACGATCGATCCATATCCACCGCCCACTATTATTGATCGGTCAAGTCGGTATAACTCACCCAAAAAAAGCACGAAGTAGGTAAAATGGAATACTCGCTTTTGGCATTCCCTTTTTCCTCCTTTACTCTACCACTATAACATTTTTTTTTGTTCATCTTATACTATTTCTCCAATTGTTCACCTACAGTCCCGTCTAAGATACCTTAGAGATACCTGAGGTACCTTGCTTCCATGGTGTCTAAACATAGTAGTATGCTTGCACTAGTGTTATCCTGTTTTTTGCACCAGCCTTGTTCTTGTTCATCTGCATTGCATCCCTAAATAGGATAGACTACTAGAGTTGGTGTTACTTGCTGACCCTTTTTCAAGAAAAGAAGAATTTCCCAACTGCGAGCGCAAAGAGGGCGAGTGTTCCTAACCTAGGGTATTAACGGAAGTATCCATGATACAAGAAGAGAGACAGAGACAGAGAGGGAGAGGGATTGATTCGATTAGTCACTTTTGAGGCCGGTCATCAATAATTTCCTAATCTAATGCTCCATCTTACGTTACGGGTGCTTCTATAGGTAAGTATTTTATTATATCTCATCGAACACGTATATCAGTCACGTTCGTTTCCTGCGTATCATTTTTTCCCTTTTCTTTATTTGGCCACCACCGTCTATCGTCTATCACCTTTACCTAGGTATTACCTCAGGTACATCATCATTAATAGGATAGTGTGCCTACCTATCTTACACTTGCCCATACATATATACGTATATACATACTACACACATATACATACACTCATACATCATACACTCATGCAAGTACATATATTATTTATTCCATTTTCTTCTGCTATTCGTCCGGGTTACCTAGTCCACTACCCCTCCTATTCGATGATTTCGATGACAGCTGTCGTAGGTTGATTTTTCCCGAGCAACTACATAGAAATCCTCATGGATGGCAACCAAAAAAAACCCTTAGGTAACCAACATTAAGTTACCTCTCTCGTCTCTCGTGCAACCCGTCTTCCTCTACACGTCACGCTAATAATAATAATACGCTACCTCTCATACTCATCAATAACATTACACGTTAGGTCTGACAAAACATTTCTCCTCTAGGCCTCTTTACCCATCTACTTCCACAGGCGTACATGATACCTACCTGAGATATCGCTACATTTGTTTCTATATTTTCTCAGACACGATTCTCTAGCTGTTCAGAGCATGAGCACGCGCAGATGAGAATAGGCGAAGCAACACAACGCGACAATACTTATTCTTCCATGAGTCAATCAACTTAGTCAACGACCTTGTAAGCATTGGACATACGCTCTAGTCATAGGAGAGTACCGTCTCTACCGGTAAGTACCTATCTATCTCCCTTTTTTTTTTTTTTTTTTTAAAAAAAAAAAAAAAAAAAACCTCTCTCTGCCCCATCGTACCCCTGTCTATTATATTCTATCCATCTATATATCACAATGCGATCCGCGTCCCCACAACTACTATACCCATTACCATTACCATTACCATACCATATTATACGCACCTTACGTTCGCATCAATTTTTATTTATTTCCTTCCCTCCTTCTCTTTTCTCTCGTCATCATTGACCTGCATTTCAGTTTATACTGGAAATTAATATGATGAACGAACCCCAAATACATCGTCACACTTCACCACTCTTGCACTTATAATTCACCATCACACCATCGCCAACAATATCGCCAACAGCACTTTCCTATCGCCCTGTACTGTCTTATCTCGCATCTGACGACACGAGAATTTTATTAGTGCATGCGGATCGCATAAGGTCGTTGACGACTTAATATTCTCAGATCTGCTAACACATGTTACATAGCAAGTGAAAGTTCTGCTGGTGATTGGGTGGATGCGCGTCAAGTCAGCACCATGTCTGCTAAGAAGGAATCTTTCGGAACACATTCAGAGGACTGGGATGAAGCAGAAAAGAATCATCGGGAAACCACCAAGAGCGCGCGAGAGAAAGAGGATGTGAGAATTCAGCAGGAGTATCGCATCCATGCGGACCAACTAAGAGCTCAGCTTATCCAGCTATACGACAGAAAGTCCCAGCTTCAGGACGAGTTGCAGGCTATCGAAGGCGATATTGAGCACCATGAAAAGCAGCAGGAGCGACTGATCAACGAATTCGATGACAACGAAGCTCGTCTTGCATCTCGGCGTAGAGCAGAAGACCAAGCGCAAGAATCATTCTTTGCTCGTAATCGCGAAGACGCGGCATCTAAGGAGAATGTACGACCTAAGAGCAGTAACGGAACCCGCCGCCAGCCTAGTCGTGATATGCAACCGCTGGCTAATGGCGCCGCTACCTGGACTAGCATTAACGGTTCACGACGCCGCGGTCGTCGCGAAGAAGAAGATGAACCTCCTGCGGACCCTGGCAACCTTCTAAGTAGCGTCTACCATAATCCCATGGAAGAATCAGACTCGCTTAATGGCAGGTCTATGCCTCTACGTAGCAGCAACAACCGCGGCCGACCCAGCCTGACCTCAAATGGGGTGGCTACAGAGACTAATGCAGATACCCCCGAAAGTTATCTAATTAATCGGGCAAAGGACAGGCCTCTGAAGCCTAAGCAGCGACACAGCCTACCTAGCATTCCAGCAACGGCCCGTTCGCCCAGTGGTAGACCGCGTAAGTTCCCCTTTTGATATTGATTTTGTTAGTCTTGCTAATGATGCTCTTCTAGCTATCCCTGAGCTTTCCAGCGAGGTTCAAACAAAACCCTCGTCTGGTCGAAGATCGTTGCCAAGCGCTAAGGGTTCAGTACCCCCGACGGAAAGATCAACGCCAGCGCCTATCGAAGGTCAAGAAATTACCCGCGAAAGATTGGTGCTTCGAGATGATGGAAAAGTTATGATCGAGCCTCCGATGTATGCCGGTATCCCTCTAGAACGGATTGATAAGGACCATCCGTATTGGGACCCCGAGTGGGAGCCGTTGGAAGCCATCATGCAGCCACAGCTTGACAAATGGAAAGAGAAGCTGGATCAGCTCAGAAGAGATACTCAGTCTATACGCCACACGGTTTTTCTTGCCAACCGCCAAGTTAACAGAGGCCAGTCCGTCGTTAATTTCCTCAAAGATGGGGAGTGGCACCCGTACCAGTTTGTGGGCAAGGAAATGATGAACAAGTTCTACAAGACGTTTATCAACTACGATACGATGTTCCGCCTGGTAAACGTGCACGAAGAGCTTAAGAAATTCGACCTCGATATGACCCCTCTCGAATGGCTACGGCAACGAATGTACGACATCGCAGAGGCGCAGGGGGACAAATTCAACTTGTCTAAGACAACCCACGATTTGTACCACGATGCCAGCCTAAAGCTTCTGAGAGAAAAGCACGGCTTCGGCAACATCGGACGGCCTTCAGGTTACAAGCTCAGAGAGAAAGATCCAGAAAAGGCTGCAGCCAAGAAGGTTAAACAGGAGTCGACCGGTTCGGTAAGACGCAAGGCTCGCCGATCGATTGGACAGGTCGACCCGGATGACACGCCTAGCATTGAAGACATGCAGAAGGGATCCGAGCAGCCGCATGAAGTCTTGGAGCCTGTGACGCCGCGCTTACAAAAGCGTCAACGCCTGGAACCGGCGCCTCTGCCTCTACCTCTGCCTCCGCCTCCGCCTCCCCAACCGGAACCCGAAGAAGATGACCTCGAATACAGCGGTTGGACGTCGACGGACTCTTTTTCTGCAGGGCGAATCATGCATATGGACTGGCGCGTATACCAGATCAAGACTCACGACTTGACCACGAGCACCGAAGTCACCCAATACTGGACTTGGAAGCCGGAGAAGGGATTGTTCGAACATCAAGTGCTGCGAGACGTTCATCCCAAGGTGACGTGGGGATTCTACCAAAAGCCTATCAACTTCGACCTGGCGGTAGAAGAGATCAAGGAGATCCAGTACGCACCAGACAGCCAAAAGGTGGTGGTATCCGTCTCCGACGAGAAGCGCGGCTGCGTCCTAGCCTACTTCAAGAGGGAGCGAACCAAGAAGCGATTTTTGGCATTCGCTAAGAGAAAGGGCATTAAGCTCGTAAAGGGCACCGGGTAAGCAACTCGGCGCGAGGATAATGTAATTGTTCTATAAGGAATATGGCTAACAGTCACATTTGTAGTGCACAACTCGAGAACTCGTGGGATACGATGGAGTCCAAGACGATGCCGAACGAGGATTCAGATACATAAACGCATTCAAATTGCTCTCATATTGGTCTCGATTCCCACCCTTCGTTGGTATTTTATTTTATTATTATTACATGTATAGATTTGGCCTTGCGGCACTCTCCGGACGTCGGCATCATCTGTTGACAGCGCGAAGGAATTTAATACAGGACTACCGCAAGGAAACCGGAGGCTTTTCATCATCGATCGTCGTCGTCGTCGTCATTTTCTCATTTCAGCAGCAGCAGCAGCATCATCAATTGTTTGTATTTTTGTGTTTCTCTTTTTTTTTTTTCCTCTCTTCAGTCTCCTCGCGGCATCAGCATGGATGAACTTGGCAGGGCGGAAAAATCGGCCGGACGAACGGATGGACAAAAGGGTGGATAAGATGTGGAACGCGCGCGCGAGCCTCAAATTAAGGCGAGCTGGCTAATAACGAGATCTCAAAGTATTAAGAGACAGAGAGAGAGTGAGAGAGAGAGAGAAAGAGAAAGAGGGACATAGAGAATGGGTTTAGTGGCGACACACCCTTCTGCTATCTACACTACTCGCCCTGTATTTTTGCACGGACATTTGGGTCTGATCTCGCCCACTCCCATGCGTATCTGCATTATCCTTTTTGTTTTTTTTTTTTTTTGATCTTTTTGTTTTTCCCTCTTTTGTTTTCCACCCTCTAATGACGAGATTGTACACTACTCTCACGTATGTACTGCATAGATAGGCGGCCACGGCCAGGAGATACGGCGAAAAGGGGCATAGGCAAATGGACTCCGCGTTGTGTTTTTTCAGCTTTTCAGCTTTTCAGCCCCCATCATATTGGCTTCTCTACTTGTACCAAATTACTTGCTACATATTCCTTGACTTGTGAAAGTGAGAACATATACATAAAAAAAAGGCATTAATATAAAAATAGGCTTTTTTGCTTGATAAAACAAACGTCGCTGATTTGAAGAGGCGGGTGGTGAAGGATGCGTGGTAGGTGTAGGATATAAGGTAAGTAAGGGATGGCGACGATGCAATACGCACCAAAGACTCAATAGGAAAAAAAAAGAAGGAAAAAAAGAAAAAGAAAAGCCCCACACGTTCCCGACGTTCTGGCAATAGGCATGTACAATGTGGGCGATCCCTGTGAAATCTGTGATGCGTAGGCCATACATACAGTAGCGGCAGATCCGTCCATGTATGTAGGTATGTATGTATGTATGTACCCTCGTGGCAACCTTTGCGAGAAAGGGGCGAGCGGGCGCGGCCCCCAAAAATTAGGGATGGATGATGGATGGGCGGCCTGGCCGGCGACCATGATTTTTCTGTGCTGCGCTTTGATGCGTTCTGCCCATCCCTGTTCTATTGACCGCAGGCCAAGCCGGGAGGAAGCGGGCTCTGCTACCTACTTATGCATTAGGTTAGGTTAGGTACCTCGTTAATCTCCGTATAGCGATATGATGGAGTTGAGGGAGTAGTATTGATATTGGGGGGTTATTGGTAAAGGAGAGTAGTCGGAGGTACGGGATAAGGAGTTAATATTAATATTTACCTGTATTCTAGACATACTCACCAGAAAGAAGGCGAATATTAAGTTATATCGTGGTCTTCGTCTTCACAACGAGTAGTAAAAATATTATTAGTTATTTTTAACGCTGTTTTAGGACCAGCAAAAGAACCAACCCATGAGTTCGTTCATATGTACGAAGTAGTAAAGCAAGTATCATATTCTCATTCTCCCAACCAAAAAGCTTCACTAGTTAGTTAGTCGACATCACCGACGAACCGAAACGTGAGCCCCTTTACTTCCTCCATCCCCTCGATCTCCATTTCGCACCGAACCACCTCGTACTTGTCCGTCTCATACAACTGGAGGCATTCCTCCTGCTCCTGGTCCTGTACAAGGAATGCTTGCCCTTGTACTGTTTTGTCGCTCGGCGCATCAACCAACGCCTTGTATTTTCCACCCCACGTCTTCAAAACACCGCCCACCACGCTCGCAGGGCGGTACGACGGATCGATACCTAACAGTCGCTTCAAGACCGACGGGTCCGCAAGGGTCCCATAGAAGAAGTACCACACCGGGTATTGGTTCTGTGCCGGAACCAGCTTCGGGTCGTCTGTAGAGCGGAGGCGATGCTGGGGCATAGTCGTGTCGATGCCGAGAGTCGGGTATGCTGATTTCGTGGACAAGTTCTTCTCTGCCCTCGAGTACCGGATGAATGTGGGTTGAAATCTTGACCCCTGGCTGGCGAGGAACTCGAGAAGCTTGTGCTTGGTGTTTGCATCGACTTTGCAAAAGATTGTGTGCTCGCCCGAGTCATCTGTGCCTTTATGCTCTTGAGGTGCTATGTCGAGACCGGCGGCTGATTGCACTTGGAATACGTTATCAAGAGGTCCTTCGAGCTTAAGAAGATAGACCGATAGTCTAGTCTTGCTAGTAATCTTTTGGGGCCTCGAGTTGGATGTAAGGGACGCCATGAGGCTACGGGAGTGCTCGTAGGCCTCCTTGTCGTAGCCTTCTGCCTCTTTCTCCGCGCGCACAATATCCCAATGAGAGTCCGTAACGAGGACACGAGACAAATCCGTTCTGTGCTCTTGGATTTTCTGTATAGCTTGGGCGTATGTATAACCAAATAGCGATTGCCATCTCTTGATGTCGTCGCTATCTATCTCGTCTGGTTGTTGTGGCTGCTGGATGGCGACCTGAGCCATTGACTCGAGCTCGTTTAGGAAGTCCATGGTTTATAGCAGTGATGGTGTCGATTATATGTAAAGCTTTAGTGGTGTAAAGAAGAGATCTTGAGCAAGCTGCTGCTGGTGAGTTTTAGTGTAGAGCTCGTACTTGACTTGGATAGAAAGGAGGGCAGTCTGTTTGTTTACAGAAATAGTTTGTTCAGGCATCTGAAGGTAGCTTTTCATAGCAACCAGTCAAAGTATACAGTTTAAGTTAAGCTTAGGAGCAAAATAATTCCCAAACTTTGTCAAAGCCATGAGCCTCCCGGCCAGAATGAGTATTTAGTTATTAACTTATATCAAAAGCATGATTCCGCACTGAACATCCACGTTGTACCAGGCGGTTAGTCATATTACTTGGATTGACTAGAAATATATTGAACTTAATTCTATTAAAGAAACGCCCGAGTTACCCTTTCAATGTAGATATTCAATAAATATTCAGCTTTCCCAGATTGTTCAATAGGAATTCGTTCTCCGGGTCCGGCCTCTTTCCCGATAACATCCCGTGAAACTTTGTCGTTTCTTACCGAGAACATGATAGGAGTTATTTTATTTCTGGAGGATTTCCTAGTAGGTGTTTGAGATACTGAATATGCTTTCCCTCCAATATCCAAATTCACTTCCTTATCCAATTCACTTCCTTATCCAATTCACTTCCTTAATCTTGACCATCTAATACATGCAGGGGCAGTTCCAGTTATAACAGGTACTTGGATACATAAATACCACATCTTAAACCCTTAGTCATCCCGGAAAATCTTATCAAACCTAATCCGCACCCCACTAAAATTCGCTATCGATTGGTGTATCGCGATTCGCAACTCGCAAACCCGCAACTCTGCCGTCAAATTCGAGATACTCGAAGTTACCTATATAACAGACGATACCTCTCTCCCCATTGAAGCGGCAATCCCCGTCGAGCTCGACTCCGCCCCCGTTTGTTCTGTAACCGGGTCGACGCGGTTTGACGAGCGACTGAATAACATAACGTTCTCGTGCGCTCCATGTGAGCAAAGCAGCCGACGACAAGATGCTGTACGAGCTAATTGGAATCGTGGGTTTCCTTTTTTCTATTGCTGCTGCTATTTAACATAAAGAAATAAAGAATTATATACTTACGCAAAGTAATAGGTCCGACCCGGCAACCTCGCCGAGGTAAAAGAGTATGTCCCAGTCCCAGTCCCAGTCCCCGTCCTCACCATTCCGCCATCTCAGCTTCAAGTCTCTCAAGTCTCGACCTTGACCTGAGACCATCCATCAACCCCCGCAAACCCACGAAGCGAAAACACCACTAACCGCAAAATCTCCCAAACAACAGAATCGTCCTAACAGCCGGCCAACTAATCCTACAACAAAAAGGCGTCATCCGCGGAATCTCCAACTGGGGCGTCTTCCTGCTCCCCAAGGCCACCAGCGTGCACCAGATGCGGCACCACTCCGGCCACTACTTCGCCATGCGCTTCGACGCCAGCGTCGGCACCCAGCAGGCCGTGCGCAACATGTTGGCCCTCGACCCCCGCATGATCCGCCACGCCTCCGTCAAGCTGGGCGACGGGAAACTAAGCACCATGAGCCGATTCGGCGGGCCGGAGTGGTCGTCGACCTAGCTTATCTCGCAGACGAGCCGAGGGAGATGATAAGAAGAGATGATGAGACTAGGCTAAGGTCTCGGAGTCTGGGAGTGAGTGGTGTTGTATATGTATAATACGTCTACTCGCTTTACTCAGCCTTCTGTCTTCCCGTGTTAGAGGAGGATAGATAGATAGATCATTTCCGTAACCATGTGCACGAGAGCAATGGTTAGTATCGGAGCAGCGGTAAAAGAGGGCTCCTATATCTAGTAGCCGGGGAATAGCAACGACGACGCATGTCAGGGGGCTTGGATGATATGAACCGTTGATCTGGCTACGGATTCGCTTGCTCGCTGTATAAATATGACATGATATGAGGAACATACAAGGTATATATACCAGGAGCATAAATACAGACATGTGAAAGACAACGTAATAGATACGTGCGCGTTTGGATATTTGCAACCGTTAGCTGGCTGTCGTGGCTCATATAAGTGAACCGAACGGATAACTCTGAGTTATACTGCTGGATATAATACATGGCCTTGATTACTTCCGACATTTTTGTAGAGGAGAAAAGAAGAAAGCAAAACGGGCGCAACGCGTTTCATCGTCGTACATCTCCTCGCTTATTCTCACGCTGGTGGTCATGCTGTCGGGAACATAGTATATGATACTGGAAAGAAACCCTACAAGAAGACAGTACTACGCTTTAACATCCCCTGAGAATATTCATAATAGGTATCTTAATTATTTATTGAACCCTTCCTTTCCCTAGCGTGTCTTGCTAGGTGACCGAGGGTGATGATGATTTAATGCAAAGCAAAGCTGATCCCTTGTTCCGTAGCGCTGTAGTGATATCTCCTATATCGTCTCGCTTCTCGTACTGGACGAGCTTCTCGAAGCGTGTTCACAAACACTCGCACCCCGATACCCTTCCCTGCTATCCCCCCACGTCAATATCCGTTCCATGGTACGAATACCGAGTTAGCTACCTCGACTAGTTCGGGAACAACTGATCAAGCATCGACGTCCATTTCCGACGACTTGCGTTTGTACCAGGCCACAAAGTCGTCAATAACGCCCGGCCAAGCTCCATCCTCGCTCCAGAAGCTCAGTGCCTCGTCCGCCATGCTCTTCAGTGCAAATTCGAAAGTCTGGTTCCACATATCGCGGCTAACCGACCGTGTCCAATTCTCTCGCAGAAACGCAATCCACTCAGCCAACCAATCGGTGCCCGTAGTCTCTCCAATCCATAGCATGCCCGGCTTCTTGAAAAGCAGCTCCCAGTACAAAATCGCGTTGTCTAGTGAGAGCGCCCGTTGGTCTCCTTCTCGACCGACGACGAAAGCGTACCGGTAGACCTTACGAAATAGGTCTCGATCCTTGCTTAGTGAGTCGGCAAGGCGTTTGAAGTATTGCTTTTGGCCTTCGATCTTGGGCTCAGCCCTTTTATCAGTCAGTTTCCTGTTGTTAACTAATAAATATATCATTGAATTCATTTGATTACATTCCAGGTAAGTTCATAATAGATTGCATAAATACGTCGTTCATAAATGGTATGCAATCTATGAGACGGTTCGTAGATATGGATCTGCTTGAGGGGGAATAATATGTGATGACTTACGCCGGATTAGCTTTCCAGCCATTTATGAAGCCTGTTCGGGTGATTTCGCCTATAGTAGGAGCCTGGACGAGTTCCATGGCAAGAAAGAGTGACGCCCCTTCAAGGTCGACGCCGATAGAAGTCAGATAGGCCATAGATGAATCCGCACCGAGTGCATCTTTCGGGTCCCCCTCAGTATCTGCCTCTCGTTAGCAGGTTCATCTCTTAAATGTACATAGTTAGGCGCACTCCTGAGGCTGTCAAACAGCTTCGTAAGTTGTAATTCCTTGGTCGTAATTGATGCGCTAGCATTCCCTTGGAAGAACCTGGAGGGTAAATAGTTAGTAAGAATAAGTTTGGAATAAATATATTATATGCCCAAGAGAGGTTCACAAGATGTGCGACTAGCGAATGAACAAAGACAGGCCTGGCAGCTAAACAAATATAAGGCAAAACAAGATAGTTTTGACATGATCTACACTATACATGACATATAACGGCATGGTGATCATGATCGACCAAGATTACTTCAACGTTATCGAGGGATAACCAGCAACGAGCGATTCGCAACGTCGCAAATCTTGATACAAATTCCGATCAGACGTACAAGAAGCTGTGAGACCGTATTTCGGTTGCTTTCTACAGTCGGTGCTACAGCATCACGAACTTGCTGCCGTCCCATGAAAAATATACGCAAAACGCCGACGGTGCACCCAGGGTACCAGAGAGTATTAAGTAACTCGTATGGAACACCTATAAGAGAAAGGAATAGTAGAAAGATGAAAGCCACTCACGCATCAACGGCTTCGTTCAACTTGTACCCTGTGTTTTTGAGGTACTATAGAGGAAGATTAGTTAGCACGAGACCATCCCGAGAACGAATATATCGGTGGGAGTTTGGGCGACAACGAAGGAATGAGACGGAGTGATTCGGCCGTCATGATCACCATGTATATAGAGCTATGTATCGAAGAGACATAGGCAGATAAATAGAGAGAAAAACGTACTCTACTAGCGATCTTGTCTGAAGCCCCGGTTATCGACACGAAACTAGCTACCGCCGCTTTCTGGACGGAGGATAGCGGTGGCATCGCGACGACTTGTATCACCTATCAATAGGTGATTTCTGGGGAGACAACGGGTATATTGGTAGATGATCTGGTCGACGAGGACTCGGAGCTCGGCCCCTCGATACTAGAGGATGAAATATATCGGGGTACAGTATGTCGGTCGTTTGTTCCGCATATAAAGGCGCACGTCGCGACCGCTTTGTTGGTACCAAGTAGTTCACCAAGTAGTTCACCAAGTAGTTCGGTAGTGGGGGGAAGCTTCGGCGGTTGGAATGCGGAGGAGGGGTGCTATAACACGCGGCGGGGAGTATGAATAAGAGTAATCGGATGGGTACCTAAGCACCGAAATGATGTTTCCACGAGGACATATATTGAAGAACCGGTTTTATTTTAGACTCGAGTCCTGTCTGATTGTGTCGGTCGAAAGCGGATGGGGGATGGGGGATGGGAGAGAGAGGTATGTACGGAAACAATGGATGCACAGTTAAAACTGAAGGGTCTCCGAGTTGTTGGAGTTGTTGGCGTGGGTATTTGGGGAGACTCGTATTTGGGTTATTTGGGTTATTTGTGGTGGGGTTACCTGTCTTAGGCTAGGTACCTACGTTATGTACTACCATATTAAGATGGAAGCAACGAAGACTCCTGGGCCCTGGGCACTTTGGGCATCACTCATCACCTAATCACCTAATCACCTTTATCTATGCGTAAATACTAATTAGACTTATTAAAAGAGGCAAGTGGCTCCAATATGTAGGTGACCGGACAAAGAGTGGATCACTGCTTGACACTACCTAGGTAACCTACCTAATTAATAATTCATCATCACGTACCATGTCACCAGCCTCAGTCTTAATCGGGTATTATTTCCATTCTCACCTCACCAGATCTTCTACTCGTCCCAACCACACCTATCGAGTTAGATGGACAATGTAGGCAGTTTCCATATAAACGAATTACTAATAATGTGTAATGGAAACGAAAGAAGGGTATCGTGTGATAACTGCGACTCCCTCCTCAGTATGCTCCATCCCCTTGTGAAAACTAGAAAGAAAAACGAGTATAGCATGCTATCTCACCAACTCCAATAAGGGACAATACACTCCACAAGCCCAAAGGTATGCAGTCTAGCATTATGCAACCATTAATATCTCTCAGCTCTCAATATGCAACTACTACTCGTCAATATCTTGTTGCTGCTCCACTGGTTTCTCCGCTCTGGTCCTTACTTTAATAGTAGTCTTGCCCTTGGTCGTTCCCCGCCGACAGTTCTAGTCGCCAAGGGGCATACCCTCGAGCTCGTCGAGCAGACGACGCCAATTGTCAGCCAACATCTCTGAATACTTGACACGCTCCTGTGCCCAGTCTTGGTTCCATCGGCTGACGTGGAACTGTGTCTGCTGAAAGTAGACAAGCTCGTCACGCAGGCATTCTTTCACAAATATAGAACGGTTGTGCTGGTTGACGATAGATTCCTTATCCTATATCAAGTGTTAGCAACTTTGCGTGCCGGCGACGAATACTAAGCAGGTACAAACCTTTATAATAGCTTCAACCACTTTCTCGATCTCTCCTGGCTTGACTTCTGGCCTGGTTCGTAAGCCCGCAAGCTTCGTCTCATTATTCTGGATCCTCCGTTCTAAATACGGGATGTTGTCTTTGTCTAGCCTTTCCCTTCGGTCGAATAGTTCTCTAATGCTGACGAGTGCGTCGCGCTGCCTCTTCAAGTCTTCTAACACACCTGCATCCCATGCCTTGCTTTCGTCCTCCATTAAGCTTTGGGTCGTTTGTAAATGTCGGCTCATAGCAACCAGACCGTCATTCAAAAGAGGTACGTCGTTAGTATCAGTGGCGTAGGTATCCGAGCTCGCCTCGGTGAGGGATGTAAGGGACATAGCTAAACGAGCGTGATCAGCTGCTACACCCTCGCTCCGTTTCACAAGACGGTCCATGATGTTACAAGTTGAGATGTACAATTCGGCGGACCGTTTAACACCCTGTCTAGTGCGCTCGAAAAGCCCCTCCAACGATGGTGGCAGGGATTCCTCAAGGCCAGGCGGTAGCGGCCGGCCGGTGAATTCATCAACCACCGAGATTGCTGCTTGTTTGCGCCATACTGTAAGTTCCTACGGCTCGTTAGCTTTGAATATAAGAACGCTTGTTTCGTTCGGCTCATACCGTTGGGACAGTCAAGAACATTATAACAAGCTGCTCCTGACCTAAGATAGGATGCCGGACTAGAGTATTCAGGAACCTGGCTAGGCCGCGTCTTCGCTTCTCGATAAATGCGCCGTCGTTGGAAAGGTGGTTGCCATTGACTGCAACCCTCTTCGGTGGAAGTAGAGGCAATGCTCGAAACGGATATCTCTTGTGCAAGCAATCGAGTAACCATACGAAATCGCTATATCTGCGAATAACCTTGCTGCCGCGTCGCGAACTCGTAACCTCGTAATTGTGATGTTGGAATAAGAATATGCCCTCTTTTTCCGGCATCAGCGAAACCGTGATGTTCTCATCAACCGCAATGCCAGACCGACCACCACTAATGGTCCTAGAATGGCCAATGGTTGCATTAGGACCCGGATCGCGACCTTCTCTGTCACCCGGAACTCCAAAAGGACTTGTCGGGTTATGTGAAGATGATTCGCCGAGGCCTTCGGCGTTGTTTCCGTCAAAATATCCCCAGCCACCAGGATTCGAAGATACGGGGACGCTAGCAGATTGAGAACCAGCGCCGCCGGCTGAAGCCATTGTAGAGGTGGTAAAGTTGGAGGTCGTGCGAGGGTGAATATTAGGGGCATCAGAATTTCCGTAACCATTACCGTTCAGCAGATTAGCATGGTTAGCATGGTTGGCACCGTTAGTCTTGGGCGACTCTCCGTGGTTATGGTGTTTGTGGACATCGGATGAACTCCACGGGTCGTCTTCGGGACCGTCCATGGATGATTTTCTACCTCGGGATTGCGAACTGAAGGGTATAGGTATATTTTCGGGCTGCTGCGGTGGTTTTGCTGCAAGTTCTGCAGTATTTGGAAAGATGGATTTCTTGGCCGACACTGATGATAATCGGGCTTGCGGCAAGTCTGCAATAGGTTGGTATTGTGATTTAGTAGGATGTAATTTCTCGGCGAATAACGTAAATATCCCCGCAAGATGATGCACAGGGCAGCGCAGCGCAGCAGCGAAGATACGATAAGACCGGCTAGCCCATTGGACGCCAAATGCGATTCGCCAAATGAACGGAAACACGGCGACAAATATATATCAAGTTGATTTCTAGGGGAAACGAAAAGTAAAAGAAAAAGAAAAAGAAAGAGAAATATTATGTGAAATACTTACTACGTCTTCGCTCATCAACACCGTCTAAACTTATAGATTCACCTTCTTGCGCAAGGCCGATAAGAGCCATTAGCACGTTAAACTCATTGCGACCGATCGTATCAAGGCTACCAGCCGGCGCAAGTATCCCCATTATCTGCGCTTGGTAATCGGCACCTAACTTGGCTGCGGCAAGCGTCTTAGTGACGCCTGACGACGTGACCTTGCCGGCGCTTCCATCCTCTTGTACAGCCCTATCGAATGCTTCAATGTAGCTATCTGGTACGTCGGCACCGTCAAGGAGTCTCCGAAGAAGGTCGGCACGCGATTGTTGTTTCCTAGGGGTCGGCATATCCCAAGGTGAAGCTCTACCACCGCCAAAATCATCATCATTGAAGAGGGTATCCGAAGTCGACCGAGTCATAGGACCATCATCGTCGAACAAGGACGTTCGAGATCGCGCCATGCTTGGATTACCGGAAGACAGGGTTTCGTTTGGAGGGGAGGTGCCAAAGAGAGACATGGTCCCGGTTTGACAAGCGGGTTTTGTTGCTGTCTAGAATCAAAGGTAGGGTGATCGGCGGAGTCGACAACGGTGGTAAGCTCTTGTGGAAGGAACGAAATGTCGTAATAGAGGTGTAATAGCTAAAGGCTAGGCTGAACAAACCATGCAGTCGATTGAGAATGTAATGCAAGGGGCAAAGCTAGAAAATACGGATGAAGACGCAGGGACTATGCACGTACTCAAAAGTATAGGGAAGAAGGAAAGGTTTTGGGATTAAGTGTCACAAAAAGCTGAACAAGAAGTATTGTATCATACTGTATACACGCCCGTGCTGCCTTCCATGACTTGGGAGAGCTCGACTACAGCTGTACGGGTATGCATGCGCTGAAACGCCAGGGAAGTACAGGTGGGACAAGGTGGGACGCAATGGATCGGCGCTGGCAAGTGCGGAGCTGAATATGCTGGTATGCATATATAGGTACATACCTAGGTACCTACATCAACTGCACCGGACTTGGTTCAGCCATGCATATGTACTTACATGTAGGTATTCCGTACATCTGCAACAGCGCCAATTACACTGACATTAATGCATTTGATACATGTACATTTTGTGTCTATGTAAAGTGATTTACCTGCATAATGAATAGGGCATCCAGGCACCTTAAGGCAATTGAAACATATATGTACCTTATCGTTACTTATGCAAGTATTGATAATACCAGTACTAAGGTTGAACATTTCAAAGACTCAAGCAACCCCTTGTCGCAACCACTAAACCGAAGGCATATTATATCTCCATTCGGATGGTTGGACATGATAAGTGTAAGTGGGTGGTCCATGTATATTCCCGGTAACAGGTATATATACCTGCAGGCGTAATACACAATATATGGTACATTCTGCAGATTCGACGAGTATACTCTTATAGCTTGTCCCACAGTTTTGTATCTTCCTGCGTAGTTCCCTTCTCCTTCTTCTGCCGCTTGAGAATCTTCGCCGGCGGCACCCTGAAGTACAAACTTGGCGACTCGCCAGGCTTCAATGTGTGGCTCAGATATCCTCGGTGCGCAGGGTCACGGTAATATTCGATATCCCAACGAGCTGTCGGATCCGGCAGCCTGTAGGAAAACCCCTTCTGACGAACCTCCTCTAGGACCGGCTGTACATGCTCTGGGCCGGTAGGTAAGGGCTTATCGGTGTGAAAACTCTTGCCCAGCACTAACCGCGTTATAGCCTGCTTGGTATAGTATCGTGTCATGATCTTTCCTCCCGCTTTTTCTACCGCATCAATGGCCGCTGCTGACGCGCGAGAAACAACGATATCTATCGGCTGCTTCAGTGAATCTGCTCCCCTCGCTAACAACTTGATTCCGTCCTTGATTGTTCCAACAAGGTTAGACTCTATCAGCTCTTTTGGCGTAATCCGTTTCGTAGCATCGATACGGCCGGCGTCGATCCAGTCTTGTAGCTTGTTGAGGTTGACTTCGGACATAACAGGCGCTCGACTATTAGATAGTTAGTTTCCGATGCCAATTGATAGGGTAGCAAGGCTATTCGGCTATACAAGTTCTCGAATCCAAGCTTTCCCCTCTGAACGACCAAAGGTGTTTGACCACCCTGGAACCACGGCTTGACCTTTCCATGCTGCTTTTGACCCTTATGACCCCTTCCAGACGTTTTACCCTTTCCCGAAGAGGGACCGCGACCAACACGAATACGTTTCTGATAGGCACCTGGGTTGTCGGATAGGTTCGCAAGAATGGAGGCGCTACGAGACTGAATTGAGAGCGCATTGAATAATCCTACGAGCGATGAATTACTCGGCCGCTCAATCGAGGCCTTGCAGCACTGAGCTGTTAGCCCGAGGGGTATTCGTGGAGGCATCTTGCGATTCGTGCCTGTATTGGGAGTTTGTAGTGGGCTGTCTTGATACAAGAATTTCCCTTTGATATCTTTTTCTGGGGTTGCCTTTTGGTGAAAAGTGGTCCTAGCTTTTAGCACCCGGTACGTACATAGTGGGGGTCTGGCTTTCGTAGAGGTACTCAGGTACATCAATCTATGGACTTTCTTTCTCCAAGACATCTCAAAATATCCTCAATGCTACAGGTATTTACGACACTACACTCAATATTTATTTTCAAGTTAAAATTTTAATTATACATATATTCGTGATATCTTTTAGCCAATATGACCAATCTACTTTTCGCGCGTCCTAGCTCCAATATATTCGTTAAAACTCCTTACCCCTTAACGATTGACTCTAGTCGAATTGTGAGTCGTGTTAGTATGGCTATTCTCTATCATAAACCTTTTATTCTTTTTACATTTGAGCTAGGATACTTAGAAAGGAGAAGCTGCATAGTTCTTGGTCACTTAGAATATGATAGATATAGAGCAATCACTCCAGAACTTATAATCTAGTATAAGTCCTCCGGTCGAGGATGTAAACCCCAAATACGCTTATCAATATGACATATATTATCCCCTTTACTACCGATGTCCGCGTGGAAAGTCATTAACGCAATAATCCTACTTCTATTCTATCGGATTCCGACCTTCACGATCCTGGTTATCTCAATCCCAACCTTCCCCGCATTGATATACACTCTTACTTTAGGTATGTACTAGGTTTACCCAAAATCGATTCTACCTAATTGAGGCTTAGTATATAATTGCGTGATAATCATAAGGTAGCATTATAGACCTGTGTGTAGTTAAGTCTTATCAAACCGCTGCTTTGTAAAGGGCTTCTGGGTGGTAATGAGGGGCGTCTCGGCCGGCTCCAAGACGACGCAAGCAAGCGGGAAGATTATAAATATATGGGGAATATCATCTCTGAATAAAACGCAAATGCCTTAGCATGTTAGCCAATACCAGAGGAACATGGATGAGAAGAAATTAGCAGTCGAGGCTACCTCGAATAACCCTGTGAGCGTTTCTAATCCGACTCCTATTCAGGCAGAAGGACAATCAGTGGCGTCCTCTAGAGATCTCGACGACGCATACGATCTCTATCGAAGACAAGATGCCGTCGGTCTCGATCCTCATGAAGCACGTCAGGTGCTACGAAAAATCGACTGGCACATTTTACCACTTCTGATGGGAACTTATCTACTTCAATACCTTGACAAGTCAAGCGTCAACTTTGCAAGTGTTTTTGGATTAAGGCAAGGGACGAATCTGCATGGCCAGGATTACTCGTGGTCCTTATCTATATTTTACTTCGGTATGAGTTGTCGAGGTAAACAATCATTACGACGACTGATTAGTTTTGTCTACGTTCAGGATACTTGGTGGCGCAATGGCCAGCTGGCTATCTCCTGCAAAGGCTCCCAGCTGGGAAGTTCATCGGTAGCAGCATTCTAGGTTATTGAATCCTTCCACACTATATCTCTATAGTTGGACTAACAGAGTCTTAGTTTGGGGTATGCTCACCATTGTTACCCCAGCATGCAAGAATTTCGCCGGGATAGCAGTGAACCGCTTCTTGCTCGGATGCTTCGAGGCAGTAGTGAATCCGGGCTTCGTGCTCGTCCTTTCAATGTGGTGGAGACAGGATGAACAGCCCATGCGATTGACGACTTACTACAGTATGAACGGTATCGCTGGGATTTGTGGCGGTCTGCTTGGCTATGCTGGTAAGCTCGATATCCTATCGAACTAAGGTTGAATATCTTCTAACATGCCTGTAGTATGTCGTAACTTCATCTGTTCTTATATAATGTCACTTATCTGTTATCTCTCTTCCTATTTTACCCCTAAGCGTATGATTCGGATACTCATTTCAGCACTAACGCATGGTAGATTGGCCATATCACGTCAGGTCTGCCTCCATGGATGTACATCTTTCTTGTGTTCGGTTCTATAAGCTTGGCTTGGGGCATCATCTTCCTAATCTTCATGCCTGATATTCCTTCGACGGCGCGGTTTCTGAACGAAAAGCAGAGAATTATCGCAGTTGAACGAGTAGCTAAGAACAGACAAGGAGTGAAGAACCACCATTTCAAAACCTATCAAATGTGGCAGTGTCTCCTGGATCCAAAGACGTGGATTTTGTTTGTCATGGCCATCGCAGCGCAAATTCCAAATGCTGCCCAGTCAAGTGTATTGTATCCATCTTTTCTCGCCGGCATGTGGTAATTAATGCTAACATCTAATCCAGTTCACATCCATAATTCTAGAGACATTTGGCTTTGATGTGCTCCAGACGCAGTACTTGCAAATACCGGGGAATTTAGTACAATTCTTTTCCCTTCTCCTATCTGGTTGGGTCAGCTCTCGATTTCCAAACATGCGCTGCGCGGTCATGTTAGTGGGTAACTTGATCTGCGTCGGTTGTGGTGCAGCTCTTGTCGGATTACCGGTTGGTCCTGATGGCACACAGAATAGATGGGGACGGCTAGTTGCGCTCTGGCTGTGCTCATTCCAATCTGTAGGTTTTAGTTTGAGCTTGACGATGGTGAGTAGCAACGTGGCCGGATATACCAAGAAACAGCTCACAGGAGCTTTCCTGTTCGTGGGCTATTGTGTTGGGAACATAATAGGGCCGCAAACTTTTATCGAAACAGAGGCACCGTTCTATACCTCGGCGTACATTGCGTGAGTCGTCTAGGATTAAAGCTACATGTTAAAGACTAAATCTTGTGCTAGGATTCTCATCGGCTATTCTGTGAAGACGGTAATGGTCGTCGTATTGTACGTATATATGTGGTCGGTAAACAGGAAACGGGATCGTGAAGCTGCCCTAGAGGGCTCTGGACTTTCGGAGGAACAAGAGAAACAAGCGATTGAACAAGGAATGCAGGATGTTACTGAGTTGGATAACAAGGGCTTTAGATACGTTCTATAAAGCTATTCTGGCTTAGAAGACTATTACTTTTGATTCCAACCAGTTGAGCATTTACATATACACCCACTACTAAGGATATGTCTTAAAGTCTCCTCTATCTTATTTCAAAGAGCTTAGAGAACCGACTAATTACCTTATAAGCCCACCTTGATACTAAATGATGAAGTACGTAGGTGAGAATAGTTCTAGTAGACCACTTCTTACTGATGAAGATAGCGTTAGAGGAATAGCAAGGATAACACCACCTACCGTGAAAGCCTAGAGGAGCAACTGCTTTTAGGACCCCTGACCTTTTGCCTTCCTGTATTACAAATTCCGAGGTTCCCAAGGCCGAGCCTTTCTGTTTGGCCACGCTCTCGAAAGTAGATCTTATCTTAATTTAGTTGAGAAATGCCTTCTCATTGACGACAGTTTCCTATATCTAGGTAATTTACGGGAGCATTTAAGATTGCATATCCGACCTTGTTGACTTATAGATTGGTTAGGGTTGGGTTTCTTGGGTACTTGGTGAAAGTGAACGAACAGTCCTTTACCTAAACTATAAATTATTATTATCGCAACATTAAATGCAATGGAGGGAAAGGTTTTCAACCCCATTTTAATACTCTAAGATCTTGAAAAGGATAAAAAAAAGCTTGTTCTAAGGAAGGAACCTATTCAATTGTCCAGAACAAATTGGTCTTTTCGCCGCCATGACATAGGTTCGAATCCGAGAACTACGAAAAACCCCAAGGGATTTTTCTACGCCGTCATTTCCTTGACTACTGCGTCGTGATCACTCGACCAGTGGGCCTTGGATCAGGAGGTGATGGTGAGAGCTCTTAATGTGTATTATAAGTAACCTGTCTTCCACATTGCCATTATGGCTGCCTAGCAACCCCTCAAATATCTCAGGTACCTACAGTGGTATTTCTCGAGAGCGTCAGGAAGGAGATGTCCGAAACACAGACACCCCCATAGGGGATGCATGACCATCTAGGTACCTTGCTCGCCGTAGTTCGTTTAGAATCCGTGCGGAGATGGTGCAAGAAAAAGGTGTTCCTAATACGAGGTAATAGTATTATATAACCACCATCACCGTCTATCTTTCCTGTATTTGAACATGTATTTTATATATCTACGGCCACCTAATTTAAGGGGGGTATTTGTGTTAACCCCTACGCTTATATAGAGGAGCTACATAATTCGGTATAACAAGTTACCAACCCTATAATTTACTAGGGACTAGCATTAATCGCCTGTTAGACGGGTTTTAGGAAATAGGCGTAGGGAAGACCTGAAAATATTGCATAACCAAGCTTAAATGGAACTAAATGGTGCATAATAGCTATACGCAGCTGGCTTCGCAACACGAAATCCTGTATTGGACGGGTGTGATTAACGGTAATATGGACGATGCTGGAACCTGAATGGTCGGAAACTTGGGGCTATCATATCTTGATAGGCTGCGTATGTGGATACTGGTGATTCCTGTGCTGGTTTAAGTCCCTCCACATCTTGAGACAATCTGAACTCCCCTGAAGTCTCCCTTGGATTGGCTCCCATTTACTTCGACGAGCAACTCCACCTGCTCCTACACCGAGTTCCGTGTTTTTGACTCAGGCTTGAGTCCTTGACTGGACATGAATATGGACCTTGATGTGACAGAAGCTCTTAATATGATTTGGCACACCCTAGGCCGAGGGGTGTGGATTCTGCGGTGAACACTCATGAGGAGTTCTGAGGGGAGACAAGGACGACACTATCCCCTAGAGCTAGATATTAGATAAGGACAAGTTAAGAAAAAAGGTAAAGACGGACCTCGCACAAACAGCATCTCGGACTTCTTAGTTGTTGTCTGAAGGGGAATTAGTAATTAGTAGGATATTCTAAAATGTATTATAGAGTGCTTACCCTGATTTCCTCATCGTCGTCATCTTCGTCTACCGTATAGATGGTTTCCACGACGTCACCTAAGACTAAATTCATATGGCTGTCATAGGCCTTAGATATACTTAGTTAGCTAAATAGGGAAAAGTTGGCATGGGTCGATATGCTTCACGTACATGAAGGCGTCCTTTCAATTCACGATCGCCGCGCAACTTCACAAATACAACCTCGTCGAGAAGGAGGCGCACAAGATCGAGAGGCTCAGATACTGAGCCGCCAGCGGGGCCCTCTTCACCACCAGCCATTATTATTATAAGATTACGTCAAATATAGGTCAATATGCCCTGCAAATGTGTTGAATCGTTGAAGATATGGCGTTGAAGTTGGGGTTGGACTGGCGTGGAGGTGAAGGATGCGGTATATGAAGATTAGACGATTCGATTCGATGTTCGCAGCTTTGTAGAAACTTTGGTGCAATAATTCAATAATTGCGAGTGAAAGAGAGGTATGGCTTGGCAAACCCATAAAAAAGGCTTACCTAATTTTCCAACAGCCACAAATACCTAGGTACCTCTTAAATCTGTAGAAGCTATGACCACTGTAAAATCACTTTAAAATATTTTTGCCGTTAGTGTAGTTCTCCATACCCACTACTGTCACACTAAATTAGAGTTTACGGGGAAGTACTCCACCGTATCCACAACTCCACATAGGTACCTCTTCATAATTCCATAACTGGGCGAGTCCAAACTAACACAGCTTCAACTATCAAAGTTCCCCGCAAATCACGTCTAGTATATCTATCTGTCTGGCTCTTCTGAGTCAGTAGCCTGTTAACACTGGTCATGATAGTACTCAATAGCTCTCATAATGCCCTCCACCATTTTGACGGTGTCGTTCGGCCGGCATCGAGCCTTCTCTTATACACCCTTTAAAGGAGTTTGCTCGAAGTTTATTAACCCCCATCAAAGTCGATCCTCTGGATTACTCTCCCGTATAGATATCAACCGTGCTTTTCCATGTAGGATTATATACAGCTCTACACGTGGCCTTGCAACGGCAGTCCATCCCTCTAGTGCCGTTTCAAGTGAGGACTTCAAATTCTTCAGTGACCTTCTTAACCACACTGAACCAAAACCACAACCTAAAGTTGGCCATGGCAGTTCTATTTCCAGTGATAAAACCCCTGTTGTAACCTTACCTAGCCCGTTTAAAAGAGCTCTCGAGGCACTGCGACAGAAGGACACTCGGAGACTGCTCATCTATCTTGAACAAATATCATCCATGGAAGAAGCTGAGCTTCACGCGACCGTTTCTTCACTGCCTCGAACTACGTTCACCGAACTCCTCCGGGCCTTGGACCCATTTGTTGTTGCTAAGGATGCCGATCCAACGGACCAGACACACATATCTCCTGGAGCGTACCAGATGCTAAATTTAGGAGCCACTATTGACAATTGGGGAGTACGGAAATTATATTCGCAGCTACTACACCATATGCTAGTTCTGCTGTCTGCGTTGAAAGCCTCAGGCGGTGTTCTGCAGTTAGAGGAGTACATCTACCTAGTTAGGTGTGCAGGTGCTGCTGCAGACCCTGCGGGAGTAAAATGGATATGGAATGAGATGGTCCGCACCCAGACTACGGGTTGGAGGCAAAGTAGGATATATGCCGAGTTTGTTTCCGCACGCTTCCTCGCAAACCCTTTATATACAGGCTACGATAAAACCAGAAGGATGGTCACTGCCCGAAGTTTGCATCACTCCAAATTTATCCTTCACTGGGCACAGATTCGAAAGATGGATTACCTTAGATACCGTACCCGACTCAAGAAGCTGTATTTCGGACTCAACAAGGATGCCAAGCACGCCGAAGACTTGATACAAATGATGAGGAAGGACACCGCGGCCACCAGACTTTACATCTGGATTCATAGTCGTGGCACCTACATGACCGAAAGTCTAGCGTGTGCTTTGATGATTGCCTTTGCACGGGCCGGGTCTTTACAGTTTATTAGCACTAGTATATTAGAGCGCCATTTTGGCATAAGGATAGGTAAGATAACTAATAACATAGCGACTGACATACGCCAGGGCCCCAGCCGTGTGAGGCCTACTGGGCTTCTCATGGAAGCTATCGTGGAGACATATGGTTCAAACGCAGAGATCCCCCTTGCCTTGCAGCTGGTCAAACACCTATCGGTGACCTTTCGAATTCCCATCTCTGCGTCTGTATGGAAAGACCTTATGGAGTGGGCCTACATTATGGGCTCTGTACCGCCGTCTGGGGGATGGAAGCTGGCCAAAATGTTTTCTAAAGTACCGAACGCAGAAATAGTCGAATTCATCTGGAATATGATGGTGTCTGAGCCGTATCGGGTACAACCCAGCTTCGAACACTACAATATACTCATTCGGAATCTTATAGCGCGAAATCAGTTCAGCAGATTCATCCCATGCATGAGGGAGGCAGTTGGTTTATACAAGATTCAATGTCAAGAGTACGAAGACGCGGTAATTGAGTACTACCAAATGATTAACGATAATGGGGTACGTATTAGCGAGACCGTGCATCGGTACCAACGGGCTCGGTTTAAGAAGGCGACTATGCGGTATGCCATCCAAACATGGTGTCGGCAGTTCCTTACCAACGTACAAGCCTTCAACCCTACGAACCCGCTTGTGACCGTGGCCGTCCCGGATTTCATTAACGAGTTCAGGGCTTTTATCCCAAACCCGGCCTTTTATCGCACGTCTGACGGATACGTCTCCCTCTTCGACCCTACCCGGGAATCCCAGCGTTTAGTCCCCGTCGAACATCTTCCTCTCTCCATACAGGTGAAGAGCAAGTTGGGCGAGGTCTTGTACCTAGAAACAAAAGCGAAGAAACACGCCACTAGGTCTCGACATACCTTGGCGGGCCGAAAACCGATATCTCACTTTGACCTCGAAACTCTCCTCACGACCACTTCCCGGGCGAGGCTGCTGAAACCCTTGGACAAGACGGCTATCAAAGAAGCATCGGAGGATTCGGAGGAATCGATGGCTGAAAACGAGTCCGGCGAGTCGCGTAGCGAGTTGCCGGAACCGCTAGAGGTGGATATTTATGATGACGATGACGACTTTTATTAAAAGCAGCCGCTTGGCTGTATCTGTATTATTATACCCACAATATGTTTATTTCGCACATAAACCACCGCTGTTTTTGCTATACCCCAGCAGCGGCGATAGCATATATACAACCCCCTTAGCCCCTTCTGGCGGGATTTTGAACATACACGATCTACAAAGACATGTTCTTCGCTTCATTGTGAAACATGGCCCGTAGTATGAGACCGATGCTTGCTATTTTCACATATATTAATCATTCGTAACACTATAGAGAATGGTTACGATTTGACCTTTTCTAATCTCAGGTCATTTATGTACATGTACCGGCTCAGCGCGATCCAACCCCACCGGAACCAGACCATCTGGCTCTTATGCGCCTCCGTCATAGCCCGGCGCGCCGTCCCGTAGCTCTCCCGACCACCGGCCAGCGCGCTCACGCTAACCAGAGCACCCGGGTTGCCTTTATCGCTCTTCTTATTAACACCGCCAGGCCCGGCAAACGCAAGCGACATGACGGTCGCGAAAATATCTAGGAATCCGGTATACTTGCGCAGAAAGCCCACGCTGGTTAGCGTGTACAGGTCTACGGGCGATGCCCAGCCGGGCTTGCCCCGGGTTAGCGAGGAGACGAAGGCGCGCGCGCCGTGGTACAGGGAGATGTGGTTCGGGTGCGAGGATACGCCGCTGGAATCGAAGGTTATGATGGCATCGATGGTGGCGCTTGGGGCGGTTAGGTTCTCGGAGGAGGACTTTTGCGTGGCTAGGCGGGGCGCGAAGGCGCTGCTTAGGAGGGCGGAGATTTTGGAGGATTCCCAGGTTGTGGTCATGGAGTCGGGGAAGTCACTGGGAGGAGGGCGTTAGCTTTTATTAGGGTATTTTGTATGTATGTACGGGACAGGCAGACTCACGGGCTGTCGTAGACTAGGACATCGTCCTCGCGGGCGAGACCTAGTAACATGCCGCTCTTGACGAGCTCCTTCTTGCGCGTCTCGCCGAGGCCGTCGGCGTTGCCGGAGCTTAGGCATAGGATCTTGAGGTGGTTGCCGTGTTCGGGGCGGGTGAGGGCTAGGACGGTGGGGGCGAAGAACATGGCTTCGTCGTCCGGGTGGGCGATCAGCAGGCAGATGCGCTTGCCGCGTAGCATTGGGAGCCGTGTCTGCGATACTGATGCTGTGTAGATGTATAGCAGTGGGAGGATGACGGCGAGGATGCCGAGGGTCGATAGGGATGGGAGCGGCATGTTGTGGCTGTTTGGTAGCTTGTCGTCGTCGTCGTCGTTGTCGTTGGTAGGTAGGATAGCTTCCAAGGTTGGGGGCTTGTTAGTTCTCCCCTCCGCCTTTTGGGGTTGCAATTTCGACCTATGACGCACACGCGACACGGTATTATAAGCAAATAGGTAGCCTAGCTTCAAGTAGCGGTATAAGTGAAGAGGTAGAAAATGTTCAGGCCTCTGCCTCGTCTATAAGAGCAATAGATAAAAATAGATGCACAATATAGAGAAGTAAAGCGGTCACCAAATATTCTGTATGTACAATCGATTAGAAATAGGAAGCCAAGACTAAGTTATAGATTGTCTAGGAAGATCCGGGGATATTGAAACCAGGCAATTTCGGGCTTGGATCTAAAGCATTAGGTACCCGTTCTTGGCCCTGTCGGATGGCCTGAGAAAGTGACGATGGACTTGCACCGAGATTCACGTTGGATGAAATTAAGAGGGAGAGAAAGCCCCTCTGTTGCACCTCTTTGAAGGTTGATTATCAATTGTTGCATAGGCTAATTCGTATATCCAGTTAGTGCATATAAAGTATGGGTTTCACAGCTTTTCATTGGCTGATCGAACCCCTGTCGAGTCCACAGAACACCTCAAGCTTATGGCGGGAGCTAACCCTTACAATCGTACATGTACATAATTTACGTCGTATCACTGACACGCGACCATACCTCCTATGATCCTATCAGCCTTACCTCTTAAATATTTATTAAATCCCAACTTACATAGCACCTCTCTAGCTCCGTCAACTCATCGCCATGGTTCGAACTCGAAAAGAAAAAAAGACGGCGGAAGGGATCAAGCTATCGCATCCCGACCGAACCGCCGCTCCCAGCGAGGACACCTTGCTAAAGCTTGCTCAGGACCGCAACCTCTTCGAGGAAGCTGAGAGGAAGAAGAGGAAGATTGCGAAAGATCGTGGTTCCGATGACGATTCGGATGATGGGGACGAACTCTTGTCGTCTACGGCCGATAGGGTATTAGAGGCTGTTCTTTGGAGCACCAGTTTGTCTATGCTACATTTCACTCTCGATGTGCTTGTTCAGCATCAATATGCAATCTCCATCATATGGCCTCAGATCATAATTCGATCAGTGCAAGCATCTATTGGTAAGCTACCCTCGCAACAGTCAAGCAATCCGCTGGTGCTATATTGGGCCGAATTAATGCGTGCAGTGTTCTTCTTGCTCATCTATGTACTTCATCCACACGTCTCGGCTCCATCTTTTGTGCCTGGACTGCCGGTGAGATTTCAGTATCCTCTACGGCAGATACTCTTCCTCACTACGAGTATTACTTCTGGTTGCTATTTAATTCATATTTCGAATAAGTATAGCTACCTCGCTGTTATGAAACAATCACCGCCTTTAGGCTGTCTCTGGGTCTGGTCCGTCATTGAACTTGACCTGCCATATGCCGTCCTCTCTTTAGCTTGTATCGGCGGGTTCTTCTACCAGGGCGGCTATACAATAAAGCAACCATATTAATATATTGAGCAAGGCTGCGATATGCAGTCCTTCTATGTAATACATTAGCGGGTGGGGAGGGGGGGGGGTCTATTGACATGATGTCAGCAAACATGTTGAGGTGTGGACATAATGACCATTACTACGGTGATTGGCTAGTATATTCAGTATAGTCACCCCGGGGAGTGATCATATCCAAAATATAAGGATGACCAGGTCTGAAATAGCTACCGTACGTATACGATTATACCCTATTGTAATAGTATTGCTTTTAAAATACTGATATATTAAGAAAGAGTGGCCTTTTAAACATCGTCACCAACGGTAGTCACGGTCACCTAATCGATATATGTCACGTACGAGACTATGTCAGGCCAGGTAATCTAATATATTAAAGAAAAAAAAATAGAAGGCCCTGTAATATAATACAGGACCTTCAACATATTATATATAAGATATAGCATAGGCACATGTAAAAGTCAATTGAAAAGATTATGTCAATCAGGGGTGCCTGTACCTGGCAGATCTACAGGGGTTTTCAACTTGGGGCTTACAAAATGTCACCCTTTCACGTGATACCTCTAACCTTCAACTTGAACTGGGTATTAGTCACTTATATATCTAAATTTTAGAATTCACTGAGCAAGTGAGTTGACTTGTTTGAATTGTAGAACAGTACCTTATAATCTAAACAGAGTGGTATTAACCTCCCAGTTTAGGTTTAATATTAACTAAAGCTACGTGAGAGAATCCCAATTGATCCGATATGTTTAAAGGTTTTGGTCATGTTGGAGAATATCGAAGAACTATATCTCGTTAGAGCTACGTGGTTGCGTAGGGGGCTTTGCTGGTTATCGTAGTTGACATAGTATTTATCCAACGTAAGGATCAGGAGAAATTCATGTAGGAATGGGAACCTACTTTTTAACAAGTCGTTTCAGAAGACATGTCACACCCCATTACAGTACCTACGTTAGTCGTATGCTACAATAACGAGTACCCAATCGAGTCTCCTTTATGCTCTATGACGAGGTATTCGTATTTTACAATAGTAAATTTGCAAATCGATTTATTCTTAGCTACAACAATCCTGCTGTCCCATCTGGAGAGGAGATTCTTCCATACAAGCCGAGGTGATTACTCCTATTTCTCCTAGATTAGGTACTTATCCATCTAGACATTAGTACATAACTAGCATACATGTAAGTTGCCAAAGAAATCAGTAGATATGTATGGTAGTAAAAGTGATTGTATCCCGCACCTTAGGTAGGCAAGTACCTAACCTATTTGTGGTACCATATACCGTATTTACAGGCTGTCACGTACCATGCCGTTGGCGTTGGTGCATGCAAAGTTAGGCTTCTAATCAGTAAACGACTCTATCATCTCGCCTAAGACTTAAAGGGGGGCTCAGTACCCAGGTACCGATGCACCGTCCAGGTGTGTATCAACTGATTAGATTTAATCGTAAAGCAATCGGTTCAAATTGTATCGATTAACATCACCGTAGTCACTGTCGCCTCGGGGTAGGTGATTTGCTAATAATTATTCCAACCTGAACACTTCATAAATATTTCGACGCCGGCAACCGCAACAACTGTAGATTCCTCACCACATTATCGAACACCCAGCACCTCTTAGAATTCTGTCCAATCTATCCGTCCGACATCTTCATTCTCGTCAAGATGGTCGGCTGCTTTCCTAAGTTGTCCTTTCTTCTGGCAAAGAAGCCAGCTCAGGTATGTTAACGTTAAGTTTACTTGTCACATCCAGCGGTATTTGTCTTGACGCGTCTATACTACAACGTGTCGCGACTTTCTTTATTTTAGTTGCCTAAATTTCCTCTTCCACCTCCTACCTTTGCGGTTACATCTTCACGTTTGCCGTTCCTTCTATTTACTTACCACCCCCTTTAACACAACCTCCCCCCTTATGTCGGCGACAGCGTGATAGTCAAAGTGGGAAACAATTCTACCTCTTTATCTTAGGACTATTGGATAGTTGCAATACATCCGTTATCAAACTACTATCTCCTTTCAGTCTATACCACGTTGAAAACGCTGTTTCCAAGTTTATTTTCTGTCTTCAGGAAACCGCGCCGTCAAGACTGTATACATACTTACACTTCCTTGAAGGAACAGGCTTCCAACGTCGCCAACATCGCCGACACCACTGAGACCAACGACGCCATGTCAAAGCCTGACAAATACAAGAACCCCTCTGAGAAGGGACCTGCCGTCCCTGGCACTGCCAGCAGCTCGGGTTGGAAGCCGTACACCATCCCCTACACCGGCACTGGCATGAAACGTTCTGCCAGCGGTACCAACTGGGCTTCTCAGAGTTCCCCACAAGGAGATAGCTTTGCCGTGCCTTCCCACGCCGCACCGCCTTTGTACATCACTGGCGACCTAAAGAAGAAGGGCGAGCCTGCCGACAAGAAGGGAAAGCAGCCAGCCGGTAGCATGGACAAGAAAGACAAGAAGGCTGTTGACGAGACCCACATGTTCAAGGGTGGCTATATCGCAAGCCGCGTGAAGCCTGAGGACCGTCAGCCAATCGAATAGGTATGTACCGTATTTCCCTTTTGCTATGCGTTTCTCTACAACGCTGTATCTTACTGAAAGAAGCCTACTAACACTTATTGTTATACGAATAGGTTACAACATGGATTCTCCTTACCATCAAAGCATGATTCTATGCGCGTCTTACCTCGATTCTCCGGATCGAGCTTCGCAGCTGATCCCGCAAAGGGACATTTTGATACTAGCATTTTCAGGGGCATTTGCATTGCAACGATGATTTCCTATTTCGGCATTAATGCAACTGATGATCATGATCACAATCACGAGGCATGACTTTTGGACTGGCTTTTTGCGGTTTGCATTTTCGACTTAGCACGTGCGGATAGGCAGGCGTTATGGATCAGGAAACGATTACACGCACACATGATGATAGGGGGTGAAAAAAGGGGTGGAGAAAACACATAAAAAAAAGGAATTGGCGCGGCATTCACATTTGTGTCTTGTTTCGTTGCGGATGCATTCAACTATTGGCAGCTAGTTAGCAGCAAGTAATTAAGGTAGATGCCACCAGGTAGATACCAAAATTTGCACAAATCATTTGCCTCTAAGCTTCGTGCTGGGTCTTAGACGTGAATAATGATCTATTTTGACTTGAATCTCTAAGCTAGACGTGACATGGCATTGACTCTGACATATCACATACCCCTACGCTAATACTTCTGTCTCTGTCTATATAAAACTAAAGTCTTTTAGATCAAGGGTCATACCTTCATCATGGCCACACAGGCCTCAATGATTACCCCCTGCTAAGCTCTTCATATCCAGCCCGAATCAGGCTCTCAGGGCCCTTAACATCACCAACACCAGTCCAGTAGAATAACCCAGCTAGCCCCTTTCTCCTCACATACTCAGCTTTCCGTCTTACCGTCTCCGGGACGTCAAAGCTGACAAATCCCTTACCTGCACGGTCAACGTAGCTGGCAGCCACTACATGATGATCAACAGTTGCATTCCTGATCCACTCCCGCGGTAGATCATTGTAGTCAATCTCTCCAGCTGACTTGAAAGGGTGCCCAACCCCACGGGCCCCAGCAAAAGACCTTGCGTAGACTGGCACACCTAGCACAATTTTATGAACTGGGAAGCCCCGCGACTCTAGGTACTCAACACCACGGTGGCATGAATGCCTCAGAGCCGGGTATACATGCTCTTGCGAGCCTGGTTGAGGTAAGAGCTGTGCGTGGTGGCCCGATACATCAGTCCATGGGCCATTGAAGTCGTAGCCCATTAGATTTAGACTATCGAGGAGTTTCCCCGCTGCGCGCATGTCGATATTCTTCAAGCAGTACTCACCGGTGGGCAGGGCGGTAGTAAGGAGGTATTGGGGCGAGGGCAGGACTTCTCTTAGGGCGCGGAGTACGGCAATGTAATTTTTACCTGCTTCTGGTGTTGTCGGGTGCTCCCAGTCAAGATCTATGCCGTCGAATTGGTACTGCTCTACGAACTCCTTGCAAGACTTCGCAAACGTACTCCGATGGGTAGAGTGCGCGGCCATGGCGGGAAACTCGGCGCTGCCACTGCCACCACCAATTGAGACTAGAGTTTTGAGATCAGGCTTTTGCTGCTTTAGCTTGGCCAGCGCACGGAGGCAGCCCTTCTCCCCGTCGACGTCTTTAGTTAAGTCTGCAAACTCGTCTAACAATTTGAGGGTTCCATCTTCGTTTAGCCGGACGAAGGCATAGAAAATTTGGTTAACGCAGTCCAGCTGGAGAGACGAAGGGGGGAAGCCCTTGTAGACTCGCCAGCTAGGATAGTATACGGCATTGATGGGGGTTTGGTTAGATGACATAACGGAAGGTTTAGAGGTAAATAGCGAAAACATTGGTATGTACTTGGTTAGAGACAGGATAGTAAGAAGAAAATAAGATTTAATTGATATTATTGAGAATGCTCTTAAGTATAAAGTTAGACTTATAATTATAAGAATGAAGCTATTTAATTCTTGATATGCTCGAGCTGAATGAGGATGAGGTAGCCAAGTTGATGATGCTGTGTAGTTGCTGTTTGGACTCGCGGCCAGCTTGTATCCTTGATGTGGCGGCAATTAATCGATGTACTTACCTCAAGTAACACGAGGAGTCGTACCTTTTTGGAAGAACCCTGGAACATTGAAAGTACATTAGGAGGTACATTAGGTACATACAAACATCTTATCGAATTTTAAAGTTCAAGCGAGAGGTATTCCCGGTCCATGACAAATGTCTCAATTCTAGCCAGTGGCTAAGACCATCTTTTCTGAACACTGCGGGAAGTTTAAGTTTGATATAGTTAGGTTCATCCCAACAAAAAGTGAAAGCCTTGTGGTTTTTGATTGCGGTTGGTACTGGTTGGTACTGGGAGGCCTTACAGCAGAAGGCATATTCACCTTTAATATTACCGGTTACGACTTTCTGCATTTCCTGTCACAGCGAAAATAAAACGATAATTCCGGGCTGTGTAGATAAATTGATATATAATAATACCTACAAGTTTAGAAATTAATTTACTCTTATAAATCGCGGTGTTAATGATATTAAAAAGGGGATTATTATTCGGGTGGTTATGCGAAAACACGTAAGGCTAATGATATAAATGACGGTTAATTGCTAGAGATAATTCTATAAAATCTGTAAAAGAAGGGTTCAATTCTTAAAAGCAATATGTACAACTCCTATACCCAATTAACCGAGTCGTTTAATTTGAACCACCCCGAATCCCTTAACTTTACGCTCGCTTAGACGGATACCTCCAATAGATATGCAATTATACCAAGTGTAACTCCATTTATGCATGAATGCCTAACATGCCGATTTAACCTTTTGATCTTTTCTTAGCAAAATGCTCCACAACTCATCGTCAATCATGATTTCTACCTAGTACCCTTTTAATGGCTCGTAGGTGCAACACCTCTTTTGTTGTCTTAAGTCGTCTTAAGTCGGGATGCATCTATGGGCACCACATCTCGATCTGAACATTTCGAACCTCGTCGAGAACCTTGAAATCCATATCTTTTTGCTTGAAAGCGACGATAATCATGTCGAACCTTTCGAGGCTTGACTTGTTCCAGTCACTCATATCTAGACGGGGAATGTGAGGGATGGCAGTTTGCTCTACCAATGCATCGGCAAACATAACATCGACTCGTCCAGAGTCGACGAGAGTCTGAATAAGCTTCAGCCCCGGTGAGTTGCTTAGATGAGACTGGCCAGCCTTAAATCCCACCCCGACAACTAGTACCCGAGGTCGGAATAAGCTGGATGATTTCTCTGATGAGGTCTCAGTGCGCTCGACGTGTTCAAAGTCGGGCTTGTTGCTAAGATAAAGGCCCTCGCCGTTGATGGGAGTTTGAGTTGAGGCATTATGCGGTGCCTCCCGGAAAAGGGCATCTAAAGCTCTTTGCCCGATCTTCTCCGGTCGTTGCCACATGGTTTCGGTTGCCATCTTCAAAAGAGGGAATGAGCTGTTGGCCATGAGATAGTACGGGTTGACTGGGATGCAGTGGCCTCCAACACCAAGACCGGGAGTGAACGGAGTATAACCGAACGGCTTGGTTGATGCTGCTCTGCATACCTCGTAAGGGTCGATGCCGTGGCCAACACAAGCATCCGCCATCTCGTTGGCATACGTGATGGCGATCATCCGTTGGCAGTTCTCATACAGTTTGGTCATTTCTGCCGTTTCCGGTGTTGATACGGGAACGATGGAGTCAAACACACGCGAATATAAACGGGTAATCGCGGCAAGAGATCCGGGGACAACATCGTCCAACCCGGATATGACCTTTGGAATTGTGTGCATGGGTGGATCAGTTCGTCCAGGGTCGATTCTCTTCAAAACGGTTAGCGGGTTTGCTGAATATCGTTGATATTAGTAACGTACCTCTGGAGACATGCCCGCGAAAAAATATTTCTCTTTAGCTAAGGGGCCGAGTAGCTGCCTTGTCATCCCGATGGCAACCGAGCTTTCTATCACCACTGTTGAGCCTGGCCGAGCATATTTCCGCACGTTCGTTAACGCGCTTCTAACATATGATGTGTCGATTGTCTTATCAGCTTTGAGAAGCGTTGGCACTGAAATGAGGAAGTGGGTAGCCTTGGAGAGATTTCGAGGATCGAGGGTGAAAGATACACGACTTTTCTCGCCCCTAAACTTATCTTCTAATCTTCGGAGTTGCTCTTTTGATACATCGAAGCCCAGCACGTCGTAATGACTCGAAAAAGAGCCGATGAGCTGTGTTCCAACATATCCGCACCCGATGACAGCCACAAGAGGCTCCTCATTATCATCGATTCTGTCAGAGCGGACTAGATTCAAGGTTTGCAGTCCATCAACTTCGCTAAAAGTGTCAACTGGAGGAGTTCTAGGCGGCGAAGTTTCCTGGCTGGGCTTGTTGCTCTGATCAAAGAGGTCTACGGGCAGGGGAGGGTCTTGAACAGGGAAAGCTGCTCGAAACTCCTGCATGACATCGCTAGTGAGAAGAGGCTGCATATTGGAATTTTGCTTAATGCAGATAACAAAACGAGTGGATTGGTCAACTATAAGAGAAGCAAGAGGAGCTTTCTCTAAGAATTAGAGAACACCGAGAAGTGGAAGTTGTCACAATGAGAGAACCCAAGTGAAAGCAGGTCGGTAACGAAGAAATACATTACGATCGAAACGGGAGATTCGAGGCAGAATATAAAGTATCGGATCTTTAGGTTCAACCACTACGCTTGACTCGAGCATAGGACAAATGTAACCTTGTTTTCTCAACAATTGTCTACTATATTACATACAAGCGTACGTGCAATACGCGATCTATCTAGAGCAGTTGCTTTCTTTAGCTCAGACACGACATAACGAAAATTACCCAGCCTGATGGGCACGGATTCGGCCGAGTCCAATTAGACTACACACAGAGTTTCGCCCCATCTAGCCCGAGGAGTGACGTACCAATGCTAAGAATAATATCAAGCCTTCAGTTATTCCATCTCAATATCGTTAGTGTCGTCCTAGATCTAGGGTCTACACTATTTACACTAGTAAGGGCACAGGGCAAGGGGCAGCAAGCTAGCTGTAGAATCAAGGCTATCCTATCGAGTCCCGTCCCTACCTATGCAGATGATCTGCATAGAGCCGCACACGGCTACTCAACTGCCTGGACCAGCCATTGGCTCCCCGCAGAATAATCCGACAAGGATATTAAGTTCACGACAGCCATTACGGTTCATGACAAGTGGTTATAGTTTAGCCAGGTCCTGGTCACAGCAGTTTTCTAAGTTCCGAAGCCTATCTATGATGTCTCTTACGGAGCCACCGTCTGAATTTCGTCTCCGGTATTATGGAAGCCCTCTGTAGAGCGTGTTGCATAGGTCAAGGCGATTCTCTGAACCCGCGAGTCTAACTACAGTTAGAAACTTAAGTCTCTTGCCACAAAGTTTGTCTACACAAGTACATGCATAGGTCTGTGCGGATATGTTACTCGTAAAGAAGATGGCGGATCCTGTCAGTTCTCTGGATCTTAGAGGCTTAGAACCAATAAGCACGGTAATCACCTTAGATACTATGTCGGGATCCAGACTGAAGCTCAACTGAATCACCGTATTCTTGGCCTGCGAAATAGAAACTTCATCAACATCATCCCGAAGTTTCTTCAACTCAAACCATTTGTTTTGTTGGTGCCGAGCTACGAGCTTCTCGACAGGTCTGTTCAAAACGCGGACGCAGCGTCTTCCCGTTCATTCTATTGCCAATCGTCGGTACTAGTGACCTATCGGCTCACCACGGCGGCCACGCCAGGGAGGAAACATCATGGTCTTCTTTAACCGTACTACAAAGGTTAGTTAACCGCTTCTTCTTCTATCGAGTGTCCCTAACGGCAAATAGGTGGAGAGCAACCCAAGCACTGATGAAGGAACAAATTCGTCGTCTTCGGAGAATCCCTTCTCAGATAGACATAACCGGCCTTCGCGGTCGTTTAGTCTTAGATCATCCCGAGAGTCTACTCGGGATGAAAAGGCGGAGGGAGCTGACTTCCGACAAGAAGCTCCTCCTGTACCTGGGCAAACTACCGGCACCCATATTACAACTAAAACACACCTACAACCCAACCAATATGGCATAGGTCAGGACCACCTGTCACGGACCACATCACCAACCGCATCCAATTCCAGCTCACCTGAGGAAGAGTGGGAGGCAATACTCGAGAGTCTACCTCCTCTGTCGGTTAACGAGACAGCTGCATCTATAGCTGCCGAGGCTATAGATCCTGAACTCATAAAAAAGGGTAAAAATAAGGTTGCCAGACACAAATATTTCGCGATATTTATCATATTCACTTTGAAGTAAGTTATTTGTCTATCTTACTACAAATGAGGAACTAACACATGTCAGCTTCATGCTTATCTTTTCCAGTTGGTATTGGCCCAGATTCTATTTCATATACCTGCCATTCATCTCATTGCCTCTCGTCTTAAACTGCGTCATGATTGCCGATATCATTATCTGGTCGTTGAAGAACCTGGTCTTCAAATCGAAAAAGGTTAAACCCGAGACTCCGGAGGAGATGGTTCTACTTATGCCCTGCTACAATGAGACTTATGAGGAATGCAGTAGGTCGCTTGACTCACTTGTCAATCAAGTCAATGTCAGCCACCACAAGCAAGCGATCATGGTTGTTTGCGATGGCAAGGTTCGAGGGCCTGGTATGGACAAAACCACGGGCGATTATCTTAACGAGGACATTTTTGTCGACCAAGTCGAGCGGAGGATGATCCGCGCGGCATATGTCGCCTGGGACGGCCAGTCCATGGATGTCGAAATATCAAGAGGAATGTACAAAGGTTTGCCATTTTTCTGCATCGTGAAGCAGCAGAATCAGGGCAAACGAGACAGCTTGATCGTTGCTCGCTCTTTCGTGCACAACTTCAACCTACGCGACACGCGACCGAAGGTCATTTTCTCTCCCGAGTTCTTTAGGGCAATGACACACTTTCTAGTTAAACATGCGGGAATCCGCCATGTCGAGCTGTTAATCGGCATGGATGCCGACACAATATTTGCGCCCGATTGTCTCAGCCATCTGGTTGAAGAATGTCATTATCCCGGGACCGTCGGCGTCTGCGGTTACGTCTCGGTAGACTTTTCAACCCATAAGTGGAACATGTGGTCTATATACCAGTCAGCCGAATATACTATCGCTCAAGGCTTACGGCGGCTTCACCAGAGTCTCTGCACCAAGAAAGTCTCTTGTCTTCCGGGATGCTGTCAGTTACTCCGGGTCTGCGAGGAGACATGCGGCGACTACATTCTCATCGAGGAATTCGGCTACCATCCCAAGCCAACAGATGGCATTATCAAACGTATCCGCGCCACGGCGTCTGAGGACCGGAACCATGTCTGCTTAATGCTTATGAAGTTTCATAAGGCCCGTACACGACAGGCCCTGAGAGCGTACGCTTATACTGACGTGCCACATTCACTCTCGGTGTTCCTCAGCCAGCGGCGCCGCTGGACACTCGGCGCGACAAGCAACGACCTCATGTTGCTGATGGAGGCCGATCATAAGTTCAATCTATGGGAGCGTCTTGTCGCGCTTTCGAACGTCTTGACATGGACGCTTAACTTTTTTGTTATTGCGAGTCTGGCCTGTATGATATTCGCATTTATGCGTAAGTATTCAACTATCATTTTTAAACCCTGCTAGGGTAACATATACTAATGATCAACTATATAGACCAACCTTTCTGGATTATCATGATTTTTGCTTCCATTATGATCATACCCCTTTGCTACTACCTCGGCTTGGCCGTATGGCTGTGCCAAAGTTGGCTGGAGCGCGGTCAATACCTCTTAGGCCTAGCCATCTTTACAACCTGCGGCCCTTTTATCAACATCTGCGTCACTCTATACGCATGTATCTACCTGGATAATTTCAGTTGGGGTAAGACGCGCAAGGTAGTCGCCGAGACGGGTGAAGCCGAGGAACCAGACTGGCAAGCACAACAGGAGCGTTATCAGGATGCGCTCAATAACGGCGAGAAGATTTTCGGCACTATGATTCCTGATGAAGAGAACCAGCTACATCCAGAGGTCTACAGGACACCGTTTACGGTACCCACCCCGAGCCGTATGACTCCCTGCAGGGTCGACAGCGAGGCAATACAGCAAATACCTGAGGGACTACCTACGGACCCATCTGTACGCGGGATTGATGGTGATATATTACAGCTACCACCACCTACACATCATCCTACCCACAATCTTCCTTCATACAACCCTCCCTACACGTAATCTTCCTACGATAATTCTTCCTACAGACAATCCTCACGTCTCTGACACCCACCAATTTAACTAGTTCGTACCACGAATCATAGGAGATAAGAGGAGTCTAGTCTATAAAAGTTAGTTGATAGACGTACGACTTCTCCTCATGCCGGAGCCTATCCCTATCATTCCCTTGCATTGTAATTTCTCTAAGCATATACGGCCTACAGCCTAACGTTGCGGAAACTCAAAAGTTGAGGTGGCACTTGGTGTGAGTGTTGAGATTACAAGACGCCCAGTGTCTACTAATAAAGCGAATGTGTTAATACGCATGTCCGTCTACCAGCTCATGACGAGGTAGAAATATATAGTTACTAGATACGGATAGCATGACATATTAATAGCACCTAGATTTAGAATTATATATATATATATATACATTGGTCTAACCCCGATGCCCTAGACTTCGTGGCTCTAATAAAAATTTAATTTTAATATACAGTACATCAAGTCTAACAATATATGTGTAAGGCGTATCGATCAATCTGATATATACCTCAAAACATGCGAGGACCAGAGTAACGAAATCTCCGGTCAGCGAGATGGATAGTATGGTAGTCGAGCCGGAGATGGCCTAAACGCAAGGTCAAGACCTATAAGCAGAGCACAGACTGACCTTGATGGTTCCTATCAACCACAGCACAGGCCTTATCCTAGAGTCATGTACCCAGGCAGTTAACCTTCAGGCTTATACTATTGACTTAGCGTATAGTGTTTAACTTTTCTTATGGAAAGGCGACCCACGAGCCTCGTCAAACCTTAGCTACCTATATTCTCGGTCCCCTGGCCAACCTAAAGGTCATTAGTAGCATATTATGCGAAAGGGGGGGAGGACACCTGGCTCCTTACTTTACTTTACTATATCTAACTCTATAAACCTGAGTGGCTTTGATGAGAAAGAGTAAACTTATAGTTCCCGCCACAGCTTACTTTCCACTGGTATAGGTTTCACTGACGAGTCTGAGGCTTGTAGCGCAGTCCTCAGTTCCCAACATATTATACTCTCAGATATTGGCCAAAAGACACGTATATATATATCGGTCCTCCCTCCCATTCCATGCCAGACCAAGACCAAGCAACAAGCTTACAGTATTTGTTCTTATGAACTTCAAGCATTAGCGATTCAAGATGGGCTTCGACATGTGCAGCGACACGGCAAAAAGGTCAATAACCTTTGCCCTTCTCATGCTACTAATCCTAGGTCTCACTATCATTGCCGCCATAGGCATATCACAAGAAAATGAGTACATCAAGGCTAATGGCCCCGCGCCCAACGGTCACGATAATGTTCCGCCTTCTGTTCTTTCACGAAGAGACCCGTAAGTATTTTCCTCTGCATACTTCACTCCCCAGCAATACGTCGACTAACAGTGCCAAACAGCGATATCCCCGACGGAAAGCCTCTCTTCAACATGTCGCGCCCGCACATCGGCGACGTCCCCTACGGCCAAGCCATCTTCGCCTGCGCCAACCCGGGACAAATCGCACTGACGTTCGACGACGGCCCCTATTTCTGGACCAACCACGTCCTGGACCAGCTGGACGGGCTCAACATCAAGGCGACGTTCTTCGTCACGGGCAACAACCCGTTCCTGGGCCGCCGCATCGACAAGAATTCAAAGTACGCAGACTTGATCAACCGCATGCGCTCGAGCGGCCACCAGATCGCCTCGCACACCTGGTCGCACAAGCATCTAAAGGATATCGGGCGCGAGGGCCGCTTCAACGAGATGGTGTACAACGAGATGGCCCTCCGCAACATCATGTACACGCCGCCGACGTACATGCGTCCCCCGTACGGAGAATGGCGCGACCCGGACGAGATGCGGGATCTCGGAGCGCTAGGGTACCACGTCATCATGTACAACATCGACACCAAGGACTACAAGCACAATACGGAGAAGGACATCGAGGCCTCGATCGGCCTGTTCAACGACGCGCTGAGGGAGGACGGGAACGGGTCGTATATCGTGCTGGCGCATGACGTTCGCCAGTGGACGGCGCTGAAGCTGCTCCCGGCTATGATTCAGACTATGTACCTGCGGGGATACCACGCCGTGACGGTGGGGGAGTGTCTGAATGACTCCGAGTTTAATTGGTATAGGGATCCTGATAAGGCGGAGAGATGATCGGGGTTATACCTAGGTGCTGTGCTGTGCTGTGCAAATTGGATAAGGGGGGGGGGAGGGAGGGAGGGCACGGCGTTTGGACGTTTGGTGGGCGTTTGGTGGGCGTATTGTGTTTTCTTACTATTTCTTTTTTTCCTTTTTTCGGGAACCCCTGATGGTTGTTGTGCCTACTATAGTAGATGAAAATGGGGTTACATGACATGAATTTGTGTATACCCGAGGACCAGGGGTTCCGATGGTTAGTTAGACTTATATTTCCTTACTCTTTATAATTATTTGTTGCTGGGTCTTGCCATGATGGGTTCTTGAGTATCTACACAAAGGACCAAGGTAGCAGATCTTTAGACGGCTCGAAATTTACTTGTTTGGTTCTTAGCTATAGCCTATAGCTTTGTTAGTAACTATGCTATTCAATATGCCTACTTGGTAGCACTAGATGTTCAACCTTCGTGATCTCCTTTTGCCCTGTACCCGAATATGGCTGTAATCCAGGTAGCATGTTCAAGTTCGTCTGCCCGCCTTAGTCAAGTCGGCCAAGACAATATTAGGTGTTTTCTTCTTTGTGTGATGTACTTCGAGCGGACTAAACTTTCCGGTATTTTCGACTTGACTCCTAAGTCATAATCATATAGTCCTAGCGTATCCTCGAGCTACCCTTACTCCGAGTTAAATGTTGTGAGAATTCATAGCTCTTCATCTTTCACTTTCACCCCTGCTCTAGCGACGTCCGATGGCGCACACGTCTCTCAGCCGCAAACCCGTCGACGCCTCTACTAAACGAACTAGTGAGGAACGGGGAATCCGTGCGGCAACATTGAAGCTAAAATCGCCATCTCCTTTCGAGCGCTGATTGGAGCGCATATGGAGAACAACAATAGCATCGCTGGCGAATTACACGATAGTATTCTAACTTACATAATAGTAAGTCTCACATACCGGGTTTACACCGCTATTCATTAACTCTTCTTGGGAGGGAAAAGGTTTCTGCATAGCTAGATAGAAATAGTCTATCATTTGACATTGATTGACATGTGAGTTATCAGGTAGGCCTCAAATCCAACCAAACGGGATTCAAAGCGAATACAGTTACAGTAAAGTAGGTTGGTAGGCACACAGACGAGCTTGGCTAGCTTCTAATAGTGTGACTTGTAAGAGAGCCTCTCAGAGCTTAACATGTTAAGAAACTAATCCCTGTTTGTGGTGGGTTTCCTTTTCTTCTCCTTGACCTCCCCTGCCTCCCCCTGTCTCCCCCAGTGGAGAGTTTTTTTTTTCCTTTGTGGAGGCTCCATGGGGTTAACCAATGAGGACGTCCTCCCCCTCGTTTCCCCTCGTCTCCTCTGTGTTGGGATCTGTGGGACTGGGGATTTGGGGCTGCGGGGTTTAAATCCGAATAAAAACGTCGCATTGTTTCCTCGTTAGCCATGTAGCCATGCCCTGTTCCTTGTCGTGCCCATCCCTAGCGAGGCAATTCGGCTTGATGTCGGGTACGAGACGCGGCGAGGACCGGGGGCTCGTGACCTGCGTTGCCGAAGCTATTGGTTCCCACGCGGAGGTTATGCTGCGACGTTGGTCTAACTGTATCTGGTATGAGTTTGGGCGACGCCTTTGTCTCCTGGCTAGGTAGGTACAGAACTCAAGTATCATTCGTTGGGTATATATCATGTAGATCACCCCCCTCTCGTGTAGGCCTTTTAGAAAACCTCTCACAACATTGGCGATTGTTCTCACAAGAGGAGACGCATGCATATGTCTAAGTGAGTAGTGCCAGAATCGATCTTGTATTGCTTCAAGCAAGAATGGCCAAGATAGAGAGGCTTCCCGGCACCAATGTAGCCAACTTCCTAGAGAAGCGACAGCTGCTCATTGCGATCAACTGTATCGCCGCGCTGGTGCGTATCATACATTAATCCCCGCGCTTTTCTAATAGTCCGCTTGTATCTAACTTATTATAGTCTATCTTCTTTTTTGGATATGATCAGGGTATGATGTCTGGAGTGAACGGTATGTATAACAACATGAGATTTTATTATCCCAAACTTCTCCTTCGTGTACAGTGGCTAACACTCAGTAGTAAGTGGGATAACCCTACTATTTCATCTTGCTCGAGAAAGACCTCAAGGGCTTTCAAGATAGCGGGATTATAAAGCTAACATAGGATATTTCGCTATACTAGAATTCTAAGGACTATATCGATCGCATGGGCCTCGGATACGTCGATCCGGACACAGATGAGCCTATCATCACGGACAGTCTACTACAAGGCGGTATCGTCTCAGTCTACTACCTAGGAACTTTAATTGGGTGTTTAGTCGGAGGATGGGTTGGTGATAAGATCGGTAGAATAAAGACTATCGCCTTAGGATCAGTATGGGCTGTCATAGGAGCGAGCTTGCAATGCTCGGCTATGAATCACAACTGGATGATCTGCGCTCGTGCTGTGAACGGCATCGGAACTGGTATCCTCAATGCCATTGTCCCCGTCTGGTAAGACATTCTTAACCACTTATAACATTACCTATCTAAATATATCTAACTAAACTCCTCCTTAGGGCGACTGAAACGGCGGAACACACTTCGAGAGGTCAATTCATCGCCATAGAGTTCACTCTAAACATCTTCGGTGTCGTCGTCGCTTACTGGCTCGAATTCGGCTTATCATTCATCGATAATGGCAATTCAGCATTGCGATGGCGATTCCCCATTGCATTCCAAATCATCCCGCTCCTCGTACTCCTAGGAGCGGTCTGGTTCTTCCCGGAATCGCCTCGATGGCTTGCCAAGGTTGGGCGCGTTGAAGAGGCCCGTTTCATCCTGCACCGACTGAGAGGATCGACGGGAGAGGATCTCCAGAGAGCCGAGTCGGAGTTGCACGACATCACTAACATCGTCGCCCTCGAATCCAAAGAGTCTCAAAAGAACTCGTATCTACATATGCTCTTTGGCATCGGCTCGGGCGAGTTGCACACCGGACGACGTGTCCAGCTCGTCATCTGGCTGCAGATTATCCAGGAATGGGTCGGCATCGCCGGTGTCACCGTATACGCGCCTACTATCTTCCGCATAGCCGGCTTCGACACGTTTAAGAGCCAGTGGATTAGCGGTCTGAACAATATCTTCTATATGTTCGCTACTCTCATCTGTGTCTTTACCTTGGATCGTATCGGCCGCAGGTGGACTTTGTACTGGGGCGCTGTCGGTCAAGGAGTCGCCATGTTCCTTGCCGGCGCCTTTTCTAAGCTGGGCCAAGATGCGACTGCGAACGGTGAATTGGATAAGGCCAGCTCTTACGGAGCAGCAGCAGCGTCTTTCGTATTTATCTTCACATCCGTCTTCGGTGCAACTTGGTTGACGGTACCTTGGCTATACCCTGCCGAGATCTTCCCTCTCCAGGTCCGAGCAAAAGGGAATGCCTGGGGTGTTGTCGGCTGGTCGATCGGAAACGGATGGCTAACGCTTCTGTGTCCTGTCATGTTCTCGAGTAAGTTCAGCCAGCCCCCTTTCTAATTTAACATAGCTACATCTAACTAAACTGCCTTAGACATTGGCTCTACGACGCTACACATCTTCGGCGCGTGCAACATATTAGCTATTCCAATCGTCTGGGCTCTCTACCCGGAGAGTAACCAGCGGACGCTAGAGGAGATGGACCTCCTATTCGCAGCACCCACGCCATGGGTTTGGGACGCCGAGAAGACATTTGCGCGACTCAAGGAAGAGCGGCCAGACCTTATTCAGGCTGCTAAGAGAGGGGAGCATGTCGTTGACCCCGAGGCTGGTATTCTAGCACACCCCGCGACTCCAAAGAATGGGACGGCAATCCATACGGAAAACGAGGAAAATGCATCCTCGTAGACGGACTATTATGTTCAACTACGGTGAGGCATATCAACTTTCGGCACAGCTAATTATAATTTCTCCATCTTCTGGTATCTTTTAGAGGATCGGTATAAATAAGACGGGTGCTTCAATATAGTGAGGAAAAATATAGTGAGGAAAGTTATCTAGAAACACAGACTTTAGCTGTCTAAGACTAGAAGTGGTGGAAGAGTATCGATACCCCTGGACTTTATTTGGCGTATAGCCTGAATCAATTATATTTCTACCATTTAATTATTGTGTAGTGACCTAGCTTCCCCTGGCGTTATGTCTTGTACGCAATAAGCTTCTCATCTTTCCCGCTTTCAACTCCCGAGGTCCTTTCCCCCTGCCCTTAAATCTTTATACACTCATAAGACAGACACTGATATCCTACCCACTACTAATGACCTGGTCTGCCTTCTAACGACACTTGAACAGGTATTCGCTCTCGGGGAAAGGTGTCCAGAATATATGGTCTCGCCTAGCTTATAATATTATATGTAGGTGACCTGGTATCCCATGTCGATGCATATGAAAGGGGTATCAAATGATAGTATCACTATCTTAAATCATTAATACCACAACCAAATATCACAAACGCCAAGGGTATAGCAACACGTACCATAGAGCTAGCTGCCATCTAGTTCAGTATCTGATGTGCCTATTCAGAAGCAATTCCCTCTCCATTCAGAGCCGCAGCACCCTCAGCAGCCGCCGCGCCTTCCGCCCCGTTGAACCCAATGGCACCATCACCGACTACCAGCGCAGGTGAATAAGCTCCTAAGTTGATATTTAAGGGGGCGCTAATAGAGAGGCCGATGAGCGTGGCGAAGATGATAGTAAATGTGGATTTCATATTGCGTCTTTGTCTTTGTCTTTGTCTGTTGGGGTGATCCGGTTGTAATAATAGAAGTAAATATGCGAATCGAGACTAGACGGGGGGGGATGGATATTAGGAGGGTAGACAACTAGCTGAGAACGTAAATATTATAATGTAGTGCACCTGTGCACTTCGTAGAAAAGACAAGATATAATCACAAGTAAAATAAGTTGGGACGAGGACTAGCTATCGAGAGAAGGGAGGAGAAACCATAGAGATGGGGGAGGTGTGTCCGGATTCTTATCATATTCCCTAGGTTAAGTCTCATCTCACGAATACGCAATTGAACCAACCAACCATCACACATATTTCCCCTCAAACGGCGATCCAAAAATAGATACTCTAGTATTATCTCGAGTATCGAGTACCTACATAGTTGTGACCCCGGCGTTGAATCTGCCAAGACGCACTGCCAAGGGCCTCAGATCGAGCCAAGCCGTGGGATCGCCGCTGTATCTGTCGCAACCCCACGAGTAGTCACACACATGGTGTCTGGGAATGAAAACAACTAGTCTGAATACATTATACACACCAATTAGGTATATAGAAATGGCGAGGGAAATAAGACCCTAGCTGACGCACTGGTAATTCACTAGTAGACTACGATGACTACCGTGCTGTTACCGCGGATCTATGTTTCGACCTGATCGGAGCTGTCGAATCAGATAAGCTTGTTCCTAGTCAACCATAGAGATACGGTTAGCTAGATGGTGTATTGGCAGTCCTCTATATAGGTAGTATTGCCAAGCTGTGTCACCAAGACGTCCTTGGTTGAATATCATACAGCCGAAAATAGACGTAGCATGCTCAACAGCTAAACGTTACTTTTATCTATTCCCTTGGATAATCCTTAGTAAGATACATTTAGTCTTATTAACTGCCGGATTTCTATCTAGTTCTCAAAGCCATGACATCTATAGCAGGTAGCTAGAACAAAGATAGTCCTTCAATGAAGCATAATAACCTGTATCTCTAGGATAATAAGGGGTGGAGTATTATCTATTCCGCTTTCTTCGACCTTGGGTTATACTTACCTTCATACCCATCACACTTATACCTCCTATTAAGTTAAAAGGTGTATAATAATCCGAGGATCTAGCTAATGATATCCTTAGAGTCCATCTTATTACCAGAAGCTTCAAATCATCAGAGACAGGTTTCGATGTATTAATACCACTTCACATTAGCATTAACATTCCATCTCGCACATAGGCCTCCCAACCCCTATATCCAACAAAAACTCCCATCTCCAACCCAGTTCCACTACCTACCTACAAATCCGGCATCTCCCTCAAATAACTCTCCAAACCCTGCAACTCAACCCCCCTCTGCGCATTAAGCGTCCTCTCCATATCCCACGCCACGCCCCTTCCCACAGCCCACACGTTCGTATACTTAAGCATCCCATCCTCCGGCCTCTCCCTCAGCTTCTCCTTCAAGCCCTCCGCATCCCACACCTCCCTCGTCCACTCCCCCCCAAACCTCCCCTCCACCACCTCCGCAACCCGAGCATACGTCACCGTGTCCCCCGCAATATACACCACCCGACGCGAGACATCCCGCGGATCGTACGCCACCTCCGCCGCCATACGCCCGATATCCGTCGCCGTGGTAAGGGACAGCCGCGCGTCCCAGGACCCTAACGCGCGCAGTTTTCGTCCTTGGACGTCGACGACGCCGAAGGCGGGTAGGAATAGGAAACTCATGAACAGCCCCGTCGACACGATGATCCAGTCTGTATCCTGCTGCGAGCGCAGCAACGCGCGCACGCGCAACTGCTCGTCGAATAGATCCTGCGCGCTGCCACCCCCCACGGCGTCGTAGTCGATGCCCCATTGCCAGGGGAGGTACCGCCGCACCTTAGCTTGCAGGACCGCCTGTGTGAGTTTGACCTGGGTTCCGGGCGGGAGGCCGAAGCCCGAGCAGGAGATTACAGTGTGGTAGTTCCTAAACACCCCAGCGAGCTTCTCGGCCGAATCATTCGCTAGGTCTCCCGCCTCGAAGGTAGCGCCTAGGGACTTTAGACGGTCGTTCTGCGCTTTCTTGGCTGGGTCCTGCGAGGAGATGCTAGATTGCCGAAGTAAGATGGCGATGGAGCCGCCGTTGCGCTTGGGGTGCGCGACGAGGGCCTCTAAGACGGCTGTGCCGAGCTCGCCGGCACCGATGAGTAAGATGGATGGAGAGGCGCTCATGTTATATTTTGAATTTGAACCTCTCTAGGTAAGATATCCTCGTAGCTTCACTGACAAAGTAGATGTGCCTGAAAAATATGACTAGGTAGCTACCTCCTATATCAACTAGTTATTAGAAATAACCAACGATTAAATATATTTATATGTCAACCAAATATCACGACCCCTTTTATACCCCCCCCAAAGGAACAAGCTAAACCACGCACGATGACAAATAAACCCTGCTCGCGGTTGAAAGTTCCAGCATGATTTGAGGTCGAGCTACACGGCCAAGAACCAATCACAACTTGACAATAAGACGATCCTTGGTTTGTATGTAATTAGTAATGACAGCCTTACGCTCTGCTTGTGAATATTCTTAGGAGATAACGGGGGTAAGACTATTCGACCCGCGACCCGTCTTGTATGATGATGTATAAACTTGATTAACCCCGAGGGGTCTGGCTTGGCAGGCGTAATTGAATCCCAGGTCGAGTGGAACTGTTCAACTCTGTACGGTTAAGCCCAGCCGATGTCTCTACCGAGTATTCTTAGGTCGTATTAGATTTGACCTTTTCACGATATAAAAAAGCAGCTAACATAAACAGACAAGACGGTCAGATATGGTATATATCTTTATATTAGAGAAGTAACACTCTCCTCTACAAGGTAATTAGATAAATACAAAAGTATATATTACTACTCATGAAACGAAGAAAACGAAGTCTCATGTTTATCCGCTAGCAAATCTATTTGCCATAAGCCAAGGCTATCGGAAAACACCCCCCCTACGTAATCGCAACACTCACTCATACAATCTGACCCATCCAAGACTTTCACTCCTAGAGCATATGTGAATCTTGGCCTATCTCATATAGCTAGTTCTTTCGATGGTGATTAGATTTACTGTCATTCTAATCCAAGACTCTACCGGCCAGGCCTGAACCGCTTCTGTCCTTTGTCTGCGTCTTCTTCAACGCTTTGCCCAGGCGGACCTCGTTCAAGAAGGCAGAAGGCCTTCCGCCGCCGGAAGGAGCTGGCAAAGCACCCGGAGCTGGCGGCGGTGGTGGAGGGGGAGCACCCATCCCTGGAATCGGTGGTGCGGGTGGCGGAGGCGCCCCGGGAGCCCCGAAATTAGGCATTGGGGGAGGTGGTGGCGGGGGAGCTCCTACACCTGCCTCTGGCATGGGTGGCGGCGGTGGAGGTGCAGCAGGTGACCCCGCGGTCTCTCCAATAGGGGGAGGGCTGAAAGGTGTTGAAGTTACAACTGGCGAAGCTCCAGCAGACTTGTCACCCGTGGCCGATAGTGGTCGAGGAGGTCCCATGGAGCCGAAGAGAAGAGAAGCTAGCTGAGCAGCACCGGCGGCTGGACGCTCATCATCTGAATCTTCATCATCCTCTTCGTTTCCAGAGCCCCACTCATCGTCTGTGTCTGGCCGTTTTCGAGAAGGAGGTGGTACTGTTTTGGCCTCCTGGGTTATTCGGAAAAACGGATTAGTGGACACTTCCGGCTGGGGAGGCGGTGGTGGTTGGGGGACGGGAGCAGGAGCAGGAGCAGCTGGTGCAGCCGCAGGGGGGGCCACGGATGACTCCGAGGACTGAGATAACATTCGGCGGTAGGGGTTACGACTCTCCGATTCCGAGGGCGGGCTAGCGACAACCGAAGGGGGGGACATTACAGGCAGCGCGGGGGCAGGAGGTGGCGTAGCTTTACGCTCTAGTTCCTGGCTACCGAGCTGACTGCTACTAAGAGTAGGAGTAGATGCTTGAGGGGTGATCTGCTGCGGACCTTCGTCATCGTCCGAGGAGGAAGAGTCGTCCTCCATCGCCGCGAGTTGCCTCTGAAGTTCAACTTCTCTTTGGCGTGCAGCTTCGATTTCGGCACGTTGGGCTGCCAGTTTCGCTTCCTTCTCTTTCGCATCAGCCATAGCGGCTTTCTTCTTCTTCTTTTCTTCCTCTTTCTTTAGCTTGCCTTGGCGGACTTGTTCCTCTAAAGCCTTGAGGCGGGCAGATGCAGCATCGCGTTCACTAGCGAGTTCTTGCTCCTGTTGTCTGGCCTCATCCCTGTAAAGAGTTAGTCTGAATAACGAATGGAAAATTGGGGTGGCATGTTACGTACTCCATTTGCTGAGTAGCTCGCTGTTGCTCTTCGTGCTCTTTGGCGAGGCGCTGCTCCTCGGCTTTCTTAGCGCCCTCTTCCTCTTCGGTTCTCTTTGCAGCAGATGTGTCTTCATGCTTCCCACCTTTCCTTGAAGGAGGCGGAGGTGGTTTCTTGATTTCTGCCTTGAGTGCAGGAGCAGGAGCAGGAGCAGGAGGAGCCACGCCTTGCTCCTCGGCAATTCTAGCTTGCCGCTCTTGCTCGCGTCGGGCATCCTCTTCTTCCGCTTGTCGGCGCTTGGCCGCACGTTCTGCCTTCTCACGTTCCAATTTCTGGGCCGCAGTCTCCCCGGGCTTAGAAGCCGTCTTGATTCCAAGAGCTGCAAGGCGCTCGGCCATACGCTGTTCTGCTTGCTGTTTAATGAACGCGGCCCTCTCCTCTGGAGTTTTATATGATGAGTAGGACCCGCCGGCGGGCGCTGGTGAACGGCTGGTTGGTGGCGTAGCAGTGCGGGTTGCTGACGAAGGACTGCCCAAACGAGCTGGTGGTGCCTCTGCTTTAACGGGCTCGGTCGTGGGTGCTCGTCCACCCTTACGGTCCTGGGCCCTGACTCGAGCGGCCCGGCTCGAACGTTGCAAGTCAAATATGAAGTCTCGCACCTCATCCTCCACACCGAGAGCATCTTCCCATCTTCTTTTTTCGTGCTCATTGGCAGCACTCTGGCCGCCTTCTTTGAGGTTCTCTTCAATACCTCGCGAGAATTCCCGAACGCTCTCTTCTACGTCTCGGACCATGCCCTCGTTGATATCCTTTTCATTTCGAACTTTGAGGCTCTCTTCTTCTAGTCTCTTTGCCGCATCTCCTTCATCATCACCGATGTCTAACTTCTTGCCAGTCAGCGCAGCAGTTCTCTGCTGCATCATGGCCTTAGCTCTGGCCTTGAGACGGTCCGACTCGGTGATCGAGCCACCCGGTCCAGTACCAACGATGTTAGAGGCGCTTCCAGGATGCGCTTTCGCGTCTCTGAGTCGGAAGAGTTCAAGCCTAGCCTCAGCAATAGCCTTTTCAGTCTTTCTAACTTGGGAAGCTAGCTCAGGGATCTTATCGGTAAGGTTTTGTAGCTGGCGCTTCAGAGCCCTCCTCTCGGCTTCAGAATCGCCACTTGCAAGAGCAGCATCAGGATGGGCGTCAATGTCATCTTGGATTCGCCTGATGCGACGGTATAGCTCCTCGGCCTCGCGCCGATCACGCCTGTCAAGAATATCATCCTCCTCGGCGGCGGCCTCGTCCTTGAAATCCATGGCATCTAGGAGGACTTGCTTTTCTCGAATCTTTTTCTTTAACTGGTCAATGGAAAGTTCGTCGTTAGAGGTAACAGACGAAGGTGACTCTGGCCGGGGGGAGGAATTTCCGATCCTGCGTCGTGCGCTCGACCGGTACCCAACTTGATCGTCGTTATTCTTGAACACTGTCGCATCTTTCCGTCCAGCATTCAACCCACCAGCATTTCCTTTGAAGGAATGACTCTTTAAGTAACTAACTCCCGTCTTCTGGGGAAGTAAGGCGGCGCCTGACGTCTTACGGAAATCAGACTCTTGGCTTAACATGGACTTGATAGTACCAAGTGATTCGGTAAAGTTGCGGGTAGACGGCGGTACAAGCTCGGGTGGTAAAACATTAGGAACGGGATAACCGTTTAGTTTTCTATAGATCAAGTGCATAGCTACGGCAAACTCGTCAAGGTTGAGTTTGCCCTTGTTCCCGTTGTCCGCGAGGGTCCATATTCGCTCAAGATCAGGCTTCTCGAGACCGCTTTGGCCAAAGATTTCTATTGCCTGATCTCCTCCGATAAAACCTTTACCTAGACCATCCCACGCCCGGAATAATTGGTCATAGCGGGTCTTCTCATCCTTGGTAATGGCCCACGGAATCACTGCGTTGCCAGATAAGCCGGCAGTGGTATAATTCTGCTGTTCGCGACCTGCCTGTGGCATCATTCGGGCCTGTAGCGCGTCGATGTTAGGTAGTCCGGTTGCTGGGGCGTTGACTAGGCCCCATTGACCGGGCATTCCAGTCGGCTGCGCATTGAGAGGAAGTGCACTGGCGGGAGACAACCCTCCAGCAAAGCCCGTAGGCATTGGTGGCATTGGCGGCATAGGCCCGTTGTATCCGGTTGGTTGTGGGTTATTCAGGCCTCCTGGAAATCCAGTCTGCTGTGGCTGCATTGCTTGACCGGGGAATCCCGTCATCTGTGTCTGGAGTAACTGAGAATTAGACGACATGGGCTGAGGATGCTGGATCGTCGGTGGCGTGGCAGTATTCTGCCTAGTGAAATCTGCAGTATTAGTCGCACCGGAGCTAGCAGCTTCTTCCGCGATACTAAAGTTGATTATATCGACCATACTTGATACCTCATTCTTGATATTATCCGGTAGACTTCCAGGGAGTGCTTTACCCACAAGCTTCAGATTGCAGAGGTACATAGCTAGCGCAAATTCCGGGAAGTGTAGTTCGCCAGATCGAGTGGTATCCGAAAGAGTCCTATCTGGAGGTTAGATAATTCCTAATTGGAAAGCAATAGTAGTATACTATACCATATATGTGATAGAGAATCTCCATCGAGTCTCGATCGCAATAATAGGTCCCGAGCCTTCTCTCCAGACATTGTCATCCCGTCACCCACGGCCGATTTGAACAGCGTCTCGAACTTGGCCTGATCTTGGGCTGTGATAAAGGATAACCTGATGTTCGGTATTTTGTTTGTAGGCTTCTGAGCCCCTCGACCCGCCGTCAGCGACTCGGACGCGCCACCAGTCTTGAACGAAGCAGCCATCGCGCTGAAGCCTGTCGGTTGAGGATTGATTGCAGGGGCCGGGGCAGGTAATTGGGACGGGGCTTGCGAAGTGGCTGCTGGCGCGAATGAGCTTTGGGGCTGTTGCTGGTTGAATTGGGCCTGAAATTGCGAGGGAATCTGCGGTACTGGCGGAGCACCTGTTTGGAAGTTCTGCTGCTGAGGAGCTTGGCCAGGAAACCCGGTGAACTGAGGCTGGAGATTTACAGGCATAGGGGGTTGTTGCGGCATTCCTTGAGGCATTCCCGTCTGCTGCGGTTGTATGCCTTGCGCACCAGGGAAGCCTGTATACTGCTGGGTTAAGGGAGCCTGCCCATATCCCGTCGGCTGGGGTGCGAATGGGCTCAGCTGCTGCTGTCCCGGCTGTTGCTGTTGAGGCTGCTGGCCTGGAACACCGTACGAGTTGCCATACTGCTGGCCGGGTCGCAGGCTGTTACCGCCCATGAATGAATTAGAATTGGAATACATAATGAAATCCGATTATCTCTAGAGTGAAAATAGTGCTGCTAGAGGGGGTGTTAGAGGTACAGACTAGGGAGGTCCTAAGGACCTAGTAGTGCTGCTCGATGATGATGTTAAAAAAGCAAGAAAGCCTGTAGAAAGTCTGTAGAAAGTATGTTCAATTGTTGTAGATGACGAAGCAGCCGAAGAAATCAAACGGGACAAGGAGTGGCTTGGCATAATTTAGGCGCACGACCGCTAAACACGAACCAGTAACAGGCCTGCAGGCTTGGTTCAAAACTCAATGGCTGGGTGTACGTACCAAGTGGATTTTTATGCAGACCTCAAGTGCGTTAGGTACATACATGTAAGGTACTAAGGTACCTATTCAGGTACCTGTCTACGCAAATCAATACGGCATACGCATCCCCACAGCTTACATAGGTGTACAAACATATAATGGCACTCACGATTTATTCCTATCAACTTTGGCGATTAGTTGATCATTAGGTAGATTATGTTCATCTGCTTTAGCTATTCTTTCACCCCCGTATTTACTACTTTATCGTCTCTATTACACTACGACCCCTATTACTTGAATAGCTAAGTCATCTTGACACACTTCCTTTTCCCACCTAAAGCTGTACTGCCTCCATTATCAACTTCCCCCAGTGCCACATGCCACAATGTAGACTTTGCTGAGACTCGGAAACTAGTGTTTCCAGACTATCGGCTCTTTCAACTATTGTCTCTTACTGCGCAGCCGAAGTAGGGAATTGGTCGGCGTTCTTCTTGGCCCACGCCCCGAAGTCGATCTTCGAAGCGGCCTTCTTTAGAGCACCAGTTAGACCGAACTGGGTTGAGATACCCTCAACCCGGTGAGTCGAGTTAATGTTCTTGACCAGAACAATCTGGTAGCAAGTAGCAGAACCCTGTCGGGAGGCGATGGTTGAGGACGCAAGGAAGTATTCCCAGACCTATTTCGACTTGTTAGCCACACAATATACATCCCAAGTGCTACTTCATGGCAAACTTACGCGGAACCATCTCTTTCCATACTTAGCCTCAACCTTCTCGCGGTTGGCCAACCAGTTCCTATACCAGCGCCACAGAGTTGCGGAATAATGCACACCGATCGTGTCGACTCCCTTGACTTCCCACCCGGCACCTTCCAGTCCGCCAATGAAAAAGTCGAGAGGGGTTGACGCGTCAGCACCGGGGAAGACGTATTTGTTCATGAATAATCCCCAGATAAGATCCTCGTATTGCCAAGGCTTTCGAAGACCAGCAATCTGTAGGAAGAAAACTCCGTCATCGTCAAGCATATCATATACCTGCTTCAAGAAAGTACCGAACTTACGAACACCAACGTGCTCGGCCATCTCCAAACATGTGATCTTCTTGTATCCGCCCTGGGGCACCGGGATGTCTCGGTAATCCATGCAGAGAATCTTGCTCTGTTCCTCAGGAATGCCAACGTTGCGCAGAGCCTTGTTGCCCCAAGCAGTTTGGTTGCGGCCGAGAGTAACACCGGTAGCATGGGCGCCGTAGTTGACACTTGCAAATCGTGCGAGGGTACCCCAACCGCAACCGATATCTAGCAGTGATTCGCCTTCCTGTAAGTCAATCTTCTCGCAAACAATAGCCAACTTGTTGTCCTGAAGTTGTTCTAAGGTCTCCTCGGTGTTGATATCTGAGATAATGCCAGAAGTGTAGATCATACGAGGACCCAAGAACCAGCCGTAGAAGTCATCACCACGGTCGTAGTGGTCACGGACCTGTTCCTCATCTTGATGGGGTTAGCCGGCGGTTATCCTTAGCAGCTAATTCTTGTAATATCTTACCTTGACTCCTCGAGTGCATGATAACCTCGGGGATCATGCCAAACAAGAAGTACTTGCAGAGGCCCCAGGTAAATCGGAAGCTTGCCCAATCATGCCTGTATTCCAAGACTTCAAGGCAGTCACCATTGAAGTCGACATCACCGTCGAAGTACATTTCGTAGAAGGTCTCTAGGGGGATCTTGTTCTTGCCATGGTACTTGAGCTTATCAGATTGCTTCTTGAAGGTGAGGTAGTGCTCGATCGGCCGCCCGGGGTATCTGGCTTTCTCGTTCTTTCGAGGACTTATAGAAGAGATAGTGAGCCAGAAACCAGCAAGAATAGGAATGCTAGTGAATAAGGCGAAGAATATAGCAGTCTTTAGACCACCTCCGACTTTCCATGACATGTAAAGAGGGACACCACCCATCAAAGAGAATAGCAGGATATTAGAGAAGGTGTCAGCACCAGCCGAATCGGCGGGGAGAGGTGCATTTTTGATAGATGGGTACTAGAAAGATAATGTTAGCCTCCGGAATGCTTCAATAAAACCAGTTTACCGAATCCGCGGATTCCGATATGAAAGAGAAGGGGGGAAAAAACTTACCGATGTGGTTCGCACACCGCAGTCCTCAAACTTCTCGAAGGTGGGAGTGGGAGCTTTGGGAGTTTCGATGAATTCGAACTCGGATTCGCTCCCATTGACACTATGAGGTTTCGACATAGTGAAGATTGCAAAGCCAATGGGGGCCGGGAAAGACTTTGCGATAACCTTCTTTGTGTCTTGTCTTGTCTTGTCTTAAAGAGTTGAAGAAGAATTTGTGGGAAAAGCGTGAGGTAGTTCAGAGTATTTCTTGCCCTTTCCCACTTTCACAGACCGCCCTCCTTCCCTGCATGCTCTAAACCTGATAACCAACCCGATAACCCTTTTCACGAATTGGCGCCTCTGACTGGCTGGGGACCCTAAGCTAGAACCACAGTAGATGCCGTTCCGTTGTAATCATAGTGGGGTTGGCCACGACTTAGAGCTCCAACGGTGTGAAAAACCCCCCACCTACCTTTAAAATCCAGCTGTTTTAAGCTGTCCTAAGCTGTCCAGGTACTAGGTCATCCCCACAACCGAGCTGACCTTAAGCCTCCAAAAATTGAATAGGGGTCAACATCTAAGATACATCTACATAGGATTGTACCAGGATACACAGGTGTTTGACAAGGAAAGCAAACTTGGAAGTAATACTTATCTCAGCTACTAGCTAAATTTGATAGGCAAGGTATACCCTTAAACAAATACTCTCGGACTCTTCTTTCTATACAAGACCTGGCAGAAAATAACATTAGAACCCACCTCTCGAAATTCTAGTACCTTGGCGTAAAGGCCACGTTGTTCTGTAGAGCCGATCTACGGCACTGTGATATCGATAATGCACTGACATCTGCAGAGGCTGTCCTTAGTAAGATATGACCTCTTTACAATGACATCGAGTCTTGGTAGGTGATGCTTTAAGGGAATGCTATGGCATCTGGACTGCGACTTCTCTCGAGATATCACGAACGATCTGCTTAGGGGCAGGCAGCAACATCCGTTGTTGTCTCGCATAGCTATCAAAAGAGCACATAGCTCACGCATACGTGTAGTACCTAGAATACACCATGCCACCAGGGCTCGATATCGTACAAGGTAATAGCCAGGGATCGACCAGGGGAATGATATAAAAAGCAAGGAGAGGCAATGTCCACAAGATAATTTACCACGTAGGACTACACCGACAATAACGTTGTAGTTCTAGGTCAAATGCAGAGATGTAGAAGCAATCGTGTCCTCAAGGCCCTAGATCGCGGCCATGCTGTTTAGGTGTTATTCCGTTATTCCGCTTTGACTATACCAGCAATTACTTATAGGTCCCGGAAGAGCCCCGTTGATGTGTTGAGCACCAATTTGGCGGAAGCTGGTATTATGAATAGCTCAACACTCCTAGTCTCAACGATGCCTAGTCCCTCTACGTCAGTATCACATCGAATAGTATGCATTAAGGTGTATTAAATAGTTTAACAAAGGGTGTATTACAACCTCTAATTTGATCTGGCAAGACACCTACCAACGGTTTTAGTCGACGGAACTCATTCGGCAAATATCTCATCTCGAGTGGCAAGTCCCGTACGTGGTGTTGTGTTCTGTGCACTGTGCATTAATGGATACGGCTTAAGAAATCCAACATTCACCAACAATGGGAAGTCGTGTTGTAGATATAGGAATGAGGCGACTTTATGCAGTCAATATAGCGTAGCGCGCTAAGAAGCCGCTGGTATTCCATTCGGTCGAACTGGCCGGGCATTAGCCAGCTCTTTCAGCGCCTATAACTGCGCTCGGAATGTCTATGGCTATCCCGGTCTCGATCACGATGATGGCTATGGCCGTAATCTCGTCGCTCGCGCTCGCGTTCGCGTTCGGACTTGTAACTATCACCACGGTCTCGTTTCTCCTTTTCTTTGTCCCTCCTATACTCATTAAGACGGGGTCTGCGTTCACGATGCCCGTGTTTTCGGGCCAACTCTCCCTTCCTAATCTCTTCATCCTCCTTAGAACCAAGTCCCATCAGATTTGGTCGTTTTTTAACTTCTTTCGGCTTTGCACCACGCTCCTCGCCGTTCCAACCCATTCCACGTAGCATGGCCGCTCCAAATTCGCCCTCAGGTATCTGATCATACTCGTCTATGGTCGACACCTCTGCAGCTTCTTCCATCCTACGACGGTAAGCATCTTGTTCCGAAAGCGTCGTGGGCGTGCTATGTCTTGATTTGCCTTCGATAACGAGGTCTTTTGTAAAATTTCGTTTCTTGCCCAAGAGAGCATCTATGGCATCGGTATCTTCGTTCGTAGGAACTTCAGATTCATCACTGGGATGAACTACTCCACGGCCGGTTGTTGTATACCCTTCGTCTTTTGACAGGCTCTCATCTAAATTGTCAGTATCGCCTTGTATTGGTTTCCTCGTTACGGTAAGACCCCATTTGATTTGCTTGTCCTGGTCAGCCGGATCCCTCTCTACAGAGTCGCCAGATTCCGCCCGCCTCGATGGTAAACCGTTCTTAGTGCTCTTCTGGTCTTTTAACTCTGCCTTCCAGTCACGGTTTTCGTGGCCGGTTATCACGTAGGGGGCATTGGCGCGCCCCGATTTGTCTGTCCTCGGATTTCGCCTCTTAGCTTCAGACTCAGATACATCATCACCAATAGTTGTGATTACTTCATGTCGAGCTTCGTCGTCGCTCCCGGAATCGGAAACATGACTGAGAACGTGTGGTCGCTGACGTTTGCCTAGCGTTGATGGCGGCTGGGAATGTGTTTGTTTCTTAGCTCCGTTGGCAGACTTCGAGGATGACGATGTACCAAACTTGATCGCTATCCGCGGAGCTGGTTCAGGCATTTTTGTTGATCCAAACGACCGAATGAGTCGAGGCGAGGAATAGAGGTGTTTAGTACCGACACGCGAAGACTTGGGTAGCGAATAGTTATAGTTATTGTTTGGTATGTAGCTGACGACATAAATTTGAGGCGAAGTTGTCCATAGACCTTAATCCTGGTAGCATTCTGGAACCATCAGGCGGCACTTCAAATGTGGCTAGGAGCCTTAAATTTCTAGTTTGATTATCTAATGGAGTGTGGCTCACCTTAGACCAAAGCATAAATCAGGTTAGGTACCACCTAGTACATGTATTACCTGATACTTGACGCAACTCTAAACTTTTTACTATGTACCTAGGTAAACAACATAATGGAACATGATATTAAATACGATCCTGCACTTACGCACTGACAAAAGGTATCGAGCGCGGATGCGTTATATACGGACTACATGTGAAGATAATCTAGTATGGTCAGAGCGCTCTGGTGGATAGCAAGCAACTATCTAAGTCCTGATAGGTACCTAGGTTTTTAAGTGCATTAGATAGATACATTAGATACAGGTTAGAGGTAATAGGAACACGTTGAACGCCTTACGCATACGTGTACCTAATTGTACGTGGACGAGGAGAGCAGGAGGGGCAAGCAAATTTAGAAATGGTTATCGGTACAATCTAGTTGCGCCTTATTTGCCTCTAAGCTTGTATACACGTATACACTGTACAGATAGGGCTTATAGCAGGTACCTTAGGGAATTTAGGTAGTAGCAATAGCATTCGTTAGAATGGGTCACCACTATGTATCGGTCCAGCCAGGCCTATCAGGATGCCCCTGTGCACTGAAGTGGTCGGTACCGTAGGCCACCATAGGCTACCATAGGCATCATCTGCGAAAAGGAAAGCAAAAAAATTAATCTAAGAGACTTCTTGTCAATGATCGCGAAGATAGAATTCAATTAGTACAACGCAACGCCATCATCTCCATCACTTAATAACATCGGATTCATCTCCAGTGGTACCATTAAGCCTGGAGAGTCATCCGTTTTCATGTAAAACGGATGTCGCGGTGGTCGATGCTATGACTGAGGTCGTGCCCGCCGACCGCACGAAGCTTCTGCAATCAAAGCGGGCAGAATGCAGGTCAGTGATATATTCGGATGAATAGAGCTAATTGATCCGATACTCATGATATATATTTTTATAGTGCTATCATTCGTTCGAGGAAGAGGAAGCTCTGCGTTCTGTATGCGGTCGCCACGACTACGGATGGCCTCCCACAGCGAAGCTTCGCCGATCCAGACGCGCCACCAACCAACGCTGCCGAGTTACATTTTCTTGAAGGTTGTGATATCTTACAGTATGTCTAAACTTCGCGTCTTTTTATATTTTATATATCTCCGATCGCGTTTGGTGTGTTGGGAATTAAAAAAAAAAAAACTAAAAAAAAAAAAAAAGACTGGCGGATTCGATGGTCTTGAAAACATTCGTCGTTTACGGTATTGATCATGCTGCTAATTGCTAATATTCTAAATTAGAGGGAGAAAATTAAACGAGTTAAATATTCCTACGCGACTACGAGTTCGATCCGAATACCCTCCACTAGCCCGACCCGGCGAGAATATTATCACAAGCGAAAATGCTCATCAGAGTAGGAAGAAAGATGTCGGCGCTATCGTGCGACCCGTAATGGTACCGCCTCCAGTGCAATCGCGACCAGGAATTAGTGATGGCCAAACGAATGTTCCCTCCACTCTACCAATACCAACATCTAGTCCCGTATTGAAACAGCATCAGCCAGTTTGGCCAATCCAATCTTCCGGACGACCTACGAGACCAGATCCTCCCGCTCCGTTATCAAATGATCTATCTAAACCTAGGTTTCCGTCTAGTGAACATGTAGAGCATCCACCTACGAACGATAGGCCTGATGGAACCCCCAAGATTCCAACAGGTCACGCCGCGGCCTCTGTCAATCTTCCTCAACCACAAGTAGTTCAAGCTCTTATGAATGACCAGCGACAGCGACAGCAGCAACAGCAACAGCAACAGCAACACCAGCACCAGCACCAACAACTACCGCTACAACACCCACAGCAGCAATACCAGCACCAACAACAACTCCAGCCGAAGCCGCAGCAGACAGCGCAACATGCGGACACGCATTTAGGAGGTACCCACAATGGCGAGCCGATGGATATTGACCCTGCCCCAGCTACGAAGCTTGAAGAGAAGGTGGCTGAGGTTCACTCGATTTCTCAGGTCGACGGCACTAACGGAGTTGATGGCGCATCTTCAAGTTCAACAACACCAGTCCTTTCCAGTACAACGAACAATGTAAATCCAGCTCGTGAAAGTGTGCCACTTGCAGACGGTACAGAGGCCAAGCTGGCGGGAATGAAAGATGTGGCGTCGATAAGACAAAATTCATTGAGCTTAACGCCGTCTGAGCCAACCGTGGCTGGAACATCCGAAAGCATTCCGAATCGAGTCAAAGACCAACCGCCCGCGCTGCTAGCACCCACCATTACAACAACGGAGATACCAATTAATGCTAACCCGAAAGTTAATTCGGTACAGCCGCTAAACAATCCATTATTTACTACGCAGCCTGAAAAGCCTGTGGCCACAAGCTTCGAGCAGACTACGAGTAGTTTCCATACAATCCCACAATTGCCCGTACAGCAGCCTCCTAACAATGATTCCCGTGATTTTCCGATTACGGATACGAGGAACGAGAAACCGCCGACTGATACAAGTACAACCGCCGCCGGGTTTACTAACGGTATTGTTCAGGGTGGAAGCAAGAACGAAGTCATGGAGAAAGAAATTTCGGTGGCCCCTGTTGACTCAACTCCGATTACACCGCAACTTGACTCCGAAGGAACGCGACGTTCCCCCCAACCAGCGCAATCTCATCAGCCGATTCGAGAGCGAAGTAGCAGCCCTACGGGGGTTGCTCGACAGAAACCGGTTGCTGAGATCCTTAGTGAGCCGCCGAGGAGGTCGAGAGAATCCCTATCGGATCATACAGCATTGGTGACACCCACATCTCAGTCGTCTAGACAGCATCCGCAAAGCCTTCTTGGAAGGTCTAAGCTTGTAGAGAAAAGTAAACGGTCGACAGTAGTGTTCGGTAAACAAACTAAACCTACCGGAGATTCGGATAAATCACTGGTTCAGAATCAGCAGAAGGTTGGGCAGATAGCTAGTGATGACTACTTTACTCCCCTTTTTGTCCAGGCGTTTGCCTCAAACTCCAAATGGATGAGACCTCTGGACCAGATTTTACACCAGGCCCATAAGACATTGTCAACGCCCGATTCTTACACCCAAATACTTGACAATCAAGCTTGCAAGGTCCTTAAGAGGGTTTATCACTTGCAACATCATAACAAGTGGTCTTTACGCCAACCAAAGCGTTGCCCTGAGCCCACGCGCCAACCATGCCACTGGGATGTTTTACTTAAAGAGATGAAATGGATGAGAACTGATTTCCGTGAAGAGCGAAAATGGAAGATGGCAGCCGCCCGGAACCTTGCTTATGCCTGTGCCGAATGGGTGTCAGCTTCTATAGAAGATCGCAAGACCCTGCAGGTAGATGCTATCATACCTCCTAAGGCGCCAGCCGATACTAGGGAGGTCATTATGGGTGATGTGCATAACCCTCAGAGTTCGGATAGTCAACCGACGCCAGACCTTATTCCATCCGCGGACATGGACTCCCCAATGGAGCCAGACGACGAGCCTCACGAGGGTATTCTCGACACAGTAGCTCCATCGGCTATATTCGCCCTAGAGAACGACGATATAGTATTTGCGTTACATCAGTCTCCTACCGCGGACCGGCTACTTGAAGAGCTGCCTATTTACGGATCGCCGCTGAAAGTCCCCAAGTCCGACCTCACCGCGCCAGAATACGACCCTGATGCTTCGTGGAGACGCCCTGCATTACCACTAAGCAAGTTCGTGGAAGGCCGAATGGAACTCGCGCCAAACGAGCCGCCAAAGAAGCGAAGCCGATACAATTATGTGCAGGAGGACGACGAGGATGATGGAGTCGTTTTCGGTCAGTTGAACAATAGCCAACCTCGACTAGAGCCAGAAAGCCCCGACGTGGCGCTGTTTCGACCCGAAAATAAAAGTTTCAGGGATAGACTGCACGCTGGACATCAATTCCGTCCGCCCAATGAGCATTCTATGCCTTTCCAGTCATTTTATGAGTGCCGTAGCCCTTCCCAATGGATACAGTCCGAGGATGATGAACTGAAGAGCCTCGTTCGTGAGTATTCTTATAATTGGTCTCTAATATCTAGCATACTCTCCTCCAAGTCCTTATTCAGCTCTGGGGCTGAGAGGCGGACACCATGGGAATGTTTTGAACGCTGGGTTATGCTCGAGGGACTTCCTCATGATATGCAGAAAACACAGTATTTCAAGCTATGGCAGGGCAGAATTGAATCGTCACAGCAAGTTATTCGACAGCATCAGAACGCGATGCAACAACAAGCACAGCAGCAACAGCAAGCTAACTCTAATGGTCCTGTTACACCGATCCCTAAGCGGCGGTACAACGTTCCATTAAAGGTAGAGAGGCGGCGTAACCAGAAACACCTGACGATGATAGACGCGATGAGAAAGCTTGCAAAGAAACGTGAGACAGCCATACAAAAACAGCAGCATGCCGCTTCTCTTGCAGCTACGAGAAAGCCAAATGAAACACCCCAGCAAAGGGCCCCGACCAAGACCCCGAGAGAATACAGTATCATGCGATTCGAAAGAGATCAAGCAATGGCCGAGAGGTTAGCAGAGAGGATGGCACAACAGCAGCGTCATGAGGCCCAGCGCAGAGTATGAACCTCCCCTTTCTCATCCTAGGAATATTGACCGAATGAAACTAATATGCGCACGTAGGCTGCCCTTCAAAGAGCACAGCAAGGACAGGTTGCACAGATGGCAGCCGCCCAGAATGTGAATCAGCTCCCGCAGAATAATACTCAGATGGCAGCCTCTCATCCCCATGCGGCTATGGCTCGTGTCGGTGCTCCTAGTCAAATCCCGATGAACAGCCAAGGTCGTCCGCGAATGCCCATGCATGCCACTCCGAATGGTACAGGAACCTCTAATCACATGAGCGGCGGTCTCGTTCCTCCTATGCAGATGAATGGCACCTCTCAAGTACAGATGCCTACAGTAAACGGCCAGTCGCGGATGGCGATGCCCACTGCACAGCCAGACATTCAGCTCTTGATGCAAGCGCAGCAGATCTCCGAGCAACAGCGCCGTTCGGTGCAGATGCGGCAGCAGCAGCAGCAACAACAACATCAGCAACAATCTCAGACTCCACAAGGAAGCATGCCTTTGCAAAGTTCACCCCCCGCCATGCGAGCTGCCGCGATGAGTGGATTGAACCAGAAAAGTTACCTTACTAATGCTCAGGCCCAAGCAATGATGGCCCAGTTCAACGCCGGAAATAGTTCAGGAATGTCGACTCCTCCCGCATCAGGCCTTCCCATGACGTCCCAAGCAGGGTCGCCGCGACCAAATACGACAATACCTCAGCCGACGCACCAGACATACGTCTCACAGCTTCAGCATATTGAGAGTCAAATTAGACAGCAACACCCCAACACGCCACAAGACATGGTCCGTGAAATGGCAAGGCAGCTGCTAAATACCCGCCACAATAACCACAACCTTGCACAGTCTGCGATGAACGCTGCTGCGGGAGGTACAGGACATGCTGCTGCTGCTAATGGGCCACACCAATATGCGCAGCTGCTTAGAGCTCAGCAACAGCAACAAGCTGCTGCCGCCGCCGCAGCGCAGGCCCAACAAGCGCAGGCGCAAGCTCAAGCTCAAGCTCAAGCTCAAGCTCAAGCTCAACACGGAGCACAGCAACAGCATCAGCGAAACTCGAGCGGAAGTGCGACACCAACACCGTCAGTACCGAAGTAGGTTAACGGTACACCGTGTCATTTGTCCAACGCAATGCCTGTTGATCTGTTCGAGAGTCCAGAGGCATGATGTTGATAAACAACGTTCGCCTCGTTTTCTCTGAGAGGTACAAGATGGCGATACTGTCTTGAGATCTTCGGCTTTTGCAGTTTTAGACTCGTCATACCTGTCTCGACAGATTTTAACCTTGAAAGATTTCGAGATTACCTAGGTAGTGATCAAATCCTCCCCAGAAGAGGCTCCGGGCCTACCAATTTACGACTGGTGGCAGATTTCAATAGGATTGCATCCTACTGTCGCATCACTACGAGATATCAGAACCTTACTATGCCCGTTTCTTGAGAGGTCGTCGTGCCGATATTTACATAAGCCCACGTCTTATCCCGAGTCCTAAGATTAGGGTCCGAGAGTATACTTAGTCTATTCCTATGACTTTTGAGTCGACAGGAATTCGAAGTCGACGCTATACCAAGAGGTTCTAGGCTTATGGCCCCGTTGTGTACGCATCGTCGTCCGGAGAGTACAGCACCAAATAGCCATGCGGTAAAACTGGCCAGATTTTGGAGCTTGGCCGCCCTCGATTATTATCTGTGCCTAGGTCCTGTAAATAACTGCTGTCTTGGCCAGTCGAGGCATCTTAAGCAGATAGCATTCACGTATGAAAAAAAGAATTACAATTAAAGACAAACTATACAGTAATATAATGACATGTGCATACATGTCATCTAAGTGATGTACCTTTCGTAATAATTTGTTATAAATCCCTTTATTTTATCTTGATGTTGAAATACCTAGGTACATAGGGAGGTATGTATGTACCCGATATGACAGTATGAGCAGCATCGATTCAGCTATCCCACTTTATCTATCATTCTCCACTTTATTTTTTCCCTTATCCTGCATCGATTCTCTTCAAAGTCCAAATTTTCTTGCGAAACTCAAACCGTCGAAGCCAGCTCAAATCGAAAACGCAGCAGAATGGGCAAACGAAAGCGGACAGATGCTCCTGCCAACGGTGCCAAAACCCAGGAATTGACTATTCTAAAGAAACCCAAAACCACCGAGTCGTTACCAGCAGAGAGAAAGGGCTCTTCCCCATTAACGATCCAGGTCGTTACGGGTTCTTATGATCGAATTCTTCACGGATTGACAGCTACTATCTCGGGCGACGACCAAGTCGAGTTTGCTGATACCTTTCTCTTCAATGCGCACAGCTCCGCAATACGATGTATAGCACTCTCGCCCCCCTCGGCACCCGAACCGGGCAAGCTGCAGAAGGTCATGCTGGCCTCGGGTAGCAGCGACGAGCGTATCAACGTCTATAATATCTCGGCGCACCCGCCTAGTCGCAAAGACCAGGACGTCCTATCCTCCGTCATGCCTCGAAAGACATTAGAGAACCCCAAGAATCGGGAGCTAGGAACACTATTACACCATTCATCTACGATCACCAAATTATCTTTTCCTACAAAATCCAAGCTCATTTCCGCCTCCGAAGACTCTACCATAGCTGTCACAAGGACGAGGGATTGGTCTCTACTGTCAACTATCAAAGTCCCCGTACCGAAGCCTCTGGGTCGGCCGAGCGGCGATACGGCAGCGCTAGGTGCGACGCCGGCCGGTGTTAACGATTTCGCTGTACACCCGAGCATGAAACTCATGATCAGCGTGAGCAGGGGCGAGAGATCTATGCGATTATGGAATTTAATGACGGCCAAGAAGGCCGGCGTACTTAATTTTAACCGAGATATACTGCAAGAAGTAGGGGAAGGGAAGCATTCGCTAGGGGAGGGCAGGAAGGTAGTTTGGGGTAGCACCGAGGACGGCGACGAATTCTGTGTAGGGTTCGACAGGGACGCACTAGTGCTAGGCATGGACAGCACACCAAAATGCAGGGTTATGCCGGACCCGAGGAGGAAGATACACGAGCTCTGCTACGTCACGATAGACGGCGCGAGCGATTCGTCGCTGCTTGCTGTGTCGACCGAGGACGGGAAAATCATGTTCTTCTCTACAAAGAGCCAGGATCTCACACCGGGTAAATCGTCTACAGATGGAAAGGAGAAGACGGCGTTGCCAGTAGCCAAGTTGATTGCGGAGCTTGGTGGGAAGGAAGCAGGGGTTTCGGGACGTATTAAAGACTTCAGCATAGTAAAAGCCCCAGGGAAAGACGGAGCAGGCAGTTTGTTCATAGCTGCGGGTAGTAGCGACGGGAAGCTTCGCGTCTTCAAGCTCGCCGTCGCGGAGCTTAAGGAGGCTAAGGCGACGAAGACGGTGGGCAAACTGCTCGGCACCTATGAGACCCAGAACAGGATAACGTGCGTGGAGGCATTTGCGATGATACCCCGGCCGGAGGGCGTGGAGGATAGCGAGGATGAGATGGAGGATACGTCGGAGGAAGATGAGAATGAAGATGAGAAAGACGATGAAGATGATGATGAGGATTAAGATAGAAGTAATGAATTGAAGCTTGTGAATAATGACCACCGCCTCGCATCGCATCAAATATAATAAATAACCTACCCCGGCGGAAAAACTCGAATCATCAAGACAAATTATAGTTATGTTGCAATATCCATTCCCATCTCTGAATCTATGGTTAAGTCGGACGATATGCGCAAGTCATCCGGAATGAATGCATGGTTCGATTATAGGGGTAAGCCTTTGTCTTCACATGTTCAAACATACGTTTTCTTTCATCTGTTTTCACGAGCCCATCAACAGCACGTGCTGTGTTACCAAAAACCAAGTACCGTGTAAGCTCTACAGTATAGGACATTTCCGGGTTGATGCTGGCTGAAACCTCGATCCTTTGCTGCGACGCGAGGTGGGTTGTATTGCATAAAACGGCTGGCCGATGTGACCACTGCAGCGGTCGGGGTTCATTCATTCATCCAAGGCAAATAACTTGCTTCGATGCCGTGGTACAATACGATTCTTTTCGACCGCGCGCGCTGCCGTGTTACCTGACTGCCCACTCGCATGAGGTGCGGTTTTTGTGGCATCTTGTGGGATTTGCAGATGAAAGATGCACGATGGTGTCACAAAATGCTGGGTGCGTGCATGTTGCGGGGTAGCGACGGATCTGCGAGCCATTGTAGTCACGATGGACGGAGCATGTGATTCCAGGTCGAACCAGGGGTTTTAATATTTAAATATTGTACCTAGGTACTTCTTAGCCCCTATGTACATGTTTGCTGGTAATGAATGTCCCCTAGCTAACACCTACCTCATAAGATGGAAATCTGGAAATCTGGAAATCACTAGCCGGCAAAGTCAAACAGCTACTTCCATCAAGGAGCAGAAAAGGACCCCGAGAGAATAAGTAGTAAGAACGCCATCCTTCCTTTAAAAAGACTAGTGAATAGTACGGAATGTAACTAAAAGTTAGAACCTGCATCACTAGAGGCTCCTCAACGCAGCCCCAACTACTTCAATAGGTCGGAAGCTTTTAAGTGCTGATAGAGGAGGTCAGCACCAAACCTGTGTTAAGGCAGGGGTTGTATTATTAGACAAACCAGCCTCTAGGTTAGGCTCTTGCACATCATGAGGGGACAGCTGGCCGATTTGTCGAATAGCTAATAAGATGAACCGGATTACCTAGCATCGCATCGATGTTTATATACGTGCAAACGAACTTCTAGGCACCGGTATTAATTTCAAACTAGAAACTTGGACCAATAGTGCAATCAAATATTTCAATCTTTTACCCCTAAGTATGCAAAATTACATTTCGTGTAAAGACGTTGGAGTTTTCTACCAGGTAGCATGAAAGAGGTAAGACATGTAAAACATCGGGTGCATATGTAAGTGCATAATACCTAGGTATTATTGGAAGGCAGTTTTATAAGCGCCGGGTCCCATTTGCATGTGTCGCTTCTCCATCTTACCTCTTACCTCATGCCTACATGTATGTACTTGCCTCAATAGCACCTACTTGATGTTTTTTTTTATAGGCCTGCTAGCATATATATAAGCTGGTAAGGAAGGTACGGCCGGTAGGGTTTATACGGCTTTTTTTTGTGCGCGTGGGTAATAAGGTACATCCGCGAATGGAACAATACCTAAACAATACCACATGCTCCAATCGCTTCTCGTCCTCTCAATATCAAAAAGCTTCCTCTCTCCACCAACCAAACGCATAATATCGTCACCATTGCTACTCGTCTTACCTACCTAGGTATATATAATCCTATATAATTTGGCTACTTCCACATTTCATCTATCACCAGATTATTTGTTGCAGTGTTGGAGTGTTGGAGTATTGGAGTATTTTCCGACGTAGCACCTACGCCAAGCTGCAGAACATAACCAACGCATCGGTTCACCACCAGATCTGAACCGTTCAAGAGTTTCGTGAAACTCTGAATCCTTTTTATTTCCACCCCTCCCTTTCGGCAGGGTTCCAATACTCCTCGATTGTGCAGCCAGTCGATTCGTATTATAGGAACCTTAAATATTGGCCACGCGGCAGAGTCAGGTGGCATTTTGACTTTGCTTCTTCCATTGGCGCTGCCGACTTAATATAACGCCCAATTCTCACTTTACTCGCATATCTACATTCCATTGTTTCTAAATATTTAGTCGACCTTGGATACTAGATAATAAAGTGCTTGGTTTCGTTACTACCTAACTGCTACCATGTCTAACTCTCAAGGAGACAACGGTCCACCGTTATTACGGCCCATTCCTCGCCGACCTTTCAACCTAATTCCTAGAGAACCGACACCCCCGAACGACGACTCACCCGCCCCTATACCCTCCGCCGACTCGGGGCACGTTCCATTATTAAACCTTGAGTCGCTCAATTCTCGACTACTCAGCATGAGGAACACAGGCTTCACTCCCGAATCTACCACAATTAGCCGTACGGATTCAGCACTCAACTTAACGGGTTCGACGTTAGCGGGCATATACTCGCCTTCCATATGGGGGAAAGATAAATTCTACATGGGAACTGATGAGCCGGGTACGCCTTGGGGAACAGGCGCCGAAACGCCCGCGAAAAACCTAAGCACGGACGAGCCGAACTACGAAATACAGAAGGAGAGGGCGCAACCGGCGCGGAGGCGGTCCTCTTTACGCCCAGTAGTACGCCCGCAGCCGCTATCTACCTTACAACGTGTGTTCTATCACGGCTCGCGCAGCCTGCTCCTGACCGGTCTAGGCGTACTCTATGGGATACTGGCCGTTCAGTTGCGAGATAGGCAAATAGCTGCAGGTGCGCTTGACGTGCATAACCTGCTCCGGAGTAGTGATGGCAGTTACGATTGGAGGTATATGGCATTCTCAGGCGTGTGTGGAATCGTAATGGGTAGTTTACTACCCTGGTTTGATGGCGTCTGGGAACGAGTTTTCGGAAGTGACGATGTCGTGGTTGAATCCCCAGTAGAGCAAAGTGTAGGAGATGAAGCGATTAAAGAGCCTGCCTCTTTCACGGACTGGGCGCTTGCGATTAGAGGCATTGGTGCCTTTGTCGGCATCGCCTTTGCCATTGTATATTCTCCCTCTTTCGCTGTGCGGGCCATTCTCGCTAACAACATGTATAGAGAAAACTTCCATGGAGCTCGACCCTTCAAGTTTCGCTCGCGTTTGCACTCGTGAACCCGGTACTCTGGTATATACTGGACCGATCCATGTCCGGTCTAGTGCTGTCGATCTCCGTAGGACTAGCCGGGTCTGCGATGTTACTGGGACTGAGGCCAGAGGTAGTACCGTCGCCGGCAGCTCCGTCGACGCCTGCTTACGAGGCGTACGGCCCGGAGTACGGTAATGCGACGAACGGTAGTGCTAGCGAGCTTGATCAGCAGCAACAACTGGCGACAGTCGGCGGGGTGAGTCAAGAGACGATTGCTATGGGTATTTGGTTGTGGAGCGTCCTATTCTGCTGCTGCATATGTTTCGGCAATATTGGACGTTGGCTCGCGATCAGACGTGGCGCTACGACGAAAGGACGATGGGCTCAGCGGCAATGATGGCTACCGAAAAGATGGGAGCTATAGTTGAGGGATATTAATCATACTACCTTATCTAGCAAGCGGTAATAAGGTACAGCTACAAAAAGAAAGAACAGAGAAGAGGAAATCGCTTCTCAACAAATAGAAAAATATCAGCGGTGAAAGGGACTATTATTATCACGCCCCATAAAAGCGACTTAGTTGACGTTGCGTTTTTTGTTGGATGGTTGGTCGGAGCATTCTCTCTACTACTGCTTGGTATGGATTATTAAGGCGCAACTCGGAAGTTTTTACGGGCTTGCATCGGGATTGGGGAATTGGGAGCAAACGGAACCAGATGAGCAAGTACAATATGCATATCGTTGTTCGGGCTATTAGACTATTCAAGCATTGTTCTAGTATATAGCTTAGTATGTTCGAATAGAAAATTTGGTTGGATTTGAAAAGAATATAGGATTTGAATGTATACGTGCTGAGATGTGAGGATGAGAAGATGTGAGGATGATATTAATAAGTGGTAGTTGACATCACACTTATATTTTAACATTTATCTTACATCTTTATTAACAAAGGCCTAGAATATTGTTACACGACAGCGATTTTAATACTTCGAGCAAATAATTACCAATTATATCTATACATATAGCTTTCGTGATTATACGACGGCTAGATAGAGGTAAATATCGCAGGTATCTCGATTCGCTAAATGTATGTATATACTTCTTTCCGACTACGAAGAGTATTCTGAATTAAGTGAGCGATGAGATAACTCACGCTCTGAAAATAATTGATACATGCTCTCGTAATTAAATGGCTTATTTAGCCGTAAGAGGCTTGAGATGGATTAGCAGGCGCTTGTGAGACTCAAACACAACGAATCGGATGCATGCATCCTGGACTTTTTTTGGAGTTTGGAGTTCGTTCGCCGTACGGCAGAATACTTACTTCCATGATAGCTGGCAAAGAGAAGGGAGGGGTTGCTCAGGTCCCCACTGAGGGGACTGGAGGAACGAGCAATCTATGGATTTGGTTGGAATCGTGGAAGATCCCTCGTATGATAGCGTCATACATTTGGCTTCCAAGCATCCATCTATGTACGAGACGGCTGCTTGTTCGTTTAGTTACATACTGAAGAGAGGGTAGCTACCTACCTACCTAGGCATGCACCTTGAGTGGTTAGTATACCTAGTAGCAGACTAGATCGAGGCTGAATAGAGCTGCTGGGCCGCTGGGGTTGGGCTGGGCTGGGTTAGGGGAGGATAGAATGAATGAAAGATAGTGGTAGTTCGGATGTATGCGTCTCGCCAATAGTTGAATGTCTGCTAATACCTAAGGTAGATTTAGCTGTTTATTTGCACTCTTAATTGAGAGCTATGTAACTAGTTATATCACGAGTAATCCAGCGAGAGGTAGCCAAGCCAAGACAAGCCTCTATAAGCTATGGGGTAAATCAAGTTCTACCGTTAGCCAAGACAAAAATGCGGTTGAGCATGTCTCTCTATGTAAATACACGTGCGTACGTCAGTTAGAAAGTCGAGATACACCAGATTACGTACAAGTAATACATATATTATGTAGCGAGGACGATCTCCCAACACGGTGGATCGTGAAGATTATTACCTAATACCGCATTGACATTATGTTTTAAGACAGGCTGAGAAACTACGGGACTCCAGTAGCGTCGATGCCCGGACGAAATTATGTCTTTTCGAGATCG